TATAAACTAACATCAGAGATTATTACAAACAACTCTATGCAACATAAACCGATAAATCTAGAAGAAATGGATAAATTCCTGGAAACTTACACCCTTCCAAGTCTAAACCAGGAAGAAGCTGAATCCCTGAAGAGACCAATAACAAGGTCTGAAGTTGAGGCAGCAATCAATAGCCTACCAACCAAAAAAAGTCAAGGTCCAGAGGGGTTCACAGCCAAATTCTACCAGACATACAAAGAGGAGCTGGTACCATTCCTTCTGAAACTATTTCAAACAATACAAAAAGAGGGAAGAATCCCTAACTCATTTTATGAGACCAACATCATCCTGATACCAAAACCTGGCAGAGGCACAACTAAAAAAGAAAATTTCAGACCAATATCCATGATGATCATTGATGTAAAACTCCAGTAAAATACAGGCAAACCAAATGCAACAGCACATCAAAAAGCTTATTCATCAAGTAGGCTTCATCCCGGTGATGCAAGGTTGGTTCAACATATGAAAATCTATAAATGTAATCCATCACACAAACAGAACCAAAGACAAAAACCACATGATTATCTCAATAGATGCAGAGAAGGCCTTTGACAAAATTCAACAACGCTTTATGCTAAAAATTCTCAATAAATTACGTATCAATGGAATGTATCTCAAAATAATAAGAGCTATCTATGACAAACCCACAGCCTTATCATACTGAATGGGCAAAAACCGGAAGCATTCCCTTTGAAAACTGGCACTAGACAAGGGTGCCCTCTCTCACCATTCCTATTCAATATAGTATTGGAAGTTCTAGCCAGAGCAATCAGGCAAGGAAAAGAAATAAAGCATATTCAATTAGGAAAAGAGGAAGTCAAATTGTCCCTATTTGCAGATGACATGATTGTATATTTAGAAGACCCCGTTGTCTCAGCTCAAAATCTCCTGAAGCTGATAAGCAACTTCAGCAAAGTCTCAGGATACAAAATCAGTGTGCAAAAATCACAAGCATTCCTATACATCAATAACAGACAAACAGAGAGCCAAATCATGAGCAAACTCCCATTCACAACTGCCACAAAGAGAACAAAATGCCTAGGAATACAACTAATAAGGGATGTGAAGGACCTCTTCAAGGAGAACTAGAAACCACTGCTCAAGGAAATAACAGAGAACACAAATAGATGGGGAAACATTCCATGCTCATGGTTAAAAAGAATCAATATCGTGAAAATGGCCACATTGCCCAAAGTAATTTATAGAGTTAATGCTATCCCCATGAAGCTACCACTGATCTTCTTCACAGAACTGGAAAAAACTACACTAAACTTCATTTGGAACCAAAAGAGAGCCTGCATAACCAAGTCAGTTCTAAGCAAAAAGAACAGAGCTGGGGGCATCACGCTACCTGACTTCAAACTATACTACAAGGCTACAGTAATCAAAACAGCATGGTACTGGTACCAAAACAGAGATACAGACCAATGGAACAGAACAGAGGCCTCAAGAGTAACACTATACACCTACGATCATCTGATCTTTGACAAGCCTGAGAAAAACAAGCAATGGGGAAAGGTTTACCTGTTTAATAAATGGTGTTGGGAAAACTGGCTAGCAATGTGCGGAAAGCTGAAACTGGACCCATTCCTTACACCTTATACTAAAATTAACTCCAGATGGATTACAGATTTAAACATAAGACCTAACACCATAAAATCCCTAGAAGAAAACCTAGGCAATACCATTCAAGACATAAGCATAGGCAAGGACTTCATGACTAAAACACCAAAAGCAATGGCACCAAAAGCCAAAATAGACAAATGGGATCTAATTAAACCAAAGAGCTTTTGCACAACAAAGAAACAATCATCAGAGTGAACTGGCAACCAACAGAATGGGAAAAATTTTTGGCAAGCTACCAATCTGACAAAGGGCTAATATCCAGAATCTACAAAGAACTAAAACAGATTTACAAGAAAAAAAAAAAAAAAACCCATTCAAAAGCGGACAAAAGGATATGAACAGGCACTTTTCAAAAGAAGACATCTATGTGGCCAACAAACATGAAAAAATGCTCATTGTCCATGGGGAGAAATGCAGATATAGGTGAAGGGGAAGAAGGCAGCAAATCACACTGCCACGTGTGTACCTATGCAACAATCTTGCATTTTCTTCATGTGTACCCCAAAACCTAAAATGCAATAAAAAAAAAATTCTCAATGTCACTGGTCATTAGAGAAATGCAAATCAAAACCACATTGAGATACCATCTCATGCCAGTTGGAATGCAATCATTAAAAAATCTGGAGACAACAGATGCTGGAGAGGATGTGGAGAAATAGGAACACTTTTACACTGTTCATGGGAGTGTAAATTAGTGCAACCATTGTGGAAGACAGTGTGGCAATTCCTCAAGGATCTAGAAATAGAAATATCATTTGACCCAGCAATCCCATTACTGGGTATATACCCAAAGGGTTATAAATTGTTCTATTATAAAGACACATGCACACATATGCTCATTGCAGCACTGTTTACAATAGCAAAGATTTGGAACCAACACAAATGCCCATCAATGACAGACCAGATAAAGAATATGTGGCACATATACACCATGGAATACTATGCAGCCATAAAAAAGGATGAGTTCATGTCCTTTGCAGGGACATGGATGAAGCTGGAAACCATCATTCTCAACACACTAACAAAAGAACAGAAAACCAAATACCGAATGTTCTCACTCATATGTGGGAGTTGAATAATGAGAACACATAGACACACGGAAGGAGGGAAGGGAACATAACACACTGGGGTCTGTTGGGGGTGGGGTGCTAGGGGAGGGATAGCAGGGGGTGGGGAGTTTGGGGAGAGATAACATAAGGAGAAATACCTAATAATGTAGGTGACGGGGGGGTGGAGGCAGCAAACCACCATGGCATGTTGTGTATCTATGTTAACAATCCTACAAGATCTGCACACGTATCCCAAAACTTAAAGTGCAATAAAAAGCTAAAGAAGAGAAACTAAAAATACTTTTAAAAAAATAGCTGGGTGTGGTGGCACGCTCCTGTAGTCCCAGCTACTCAGGAGGCTGAGGCAGGAGAATCGCTTGAACCCAGAAGGTGGGGATTCCAGTGAGCCAAGATTAAGCCACTGCACTCCAGCCTGGCGAAAGAGTGAGACTCCATCAAAAAAGAAGAAAGAGAAAAGAAAAGAAAAAAGAAAAGAAAAGAAAGAAAAGAAATAACATGTAGTAACAATTAGCTTTGGGAAATTATTATGGAAAAATTTACTAATTTGGTGATTAATAAAATCAAGACAAGTAAGCATGTTCACACGCTATCATTTTAGAAGTCAACAGGTTGTTTTTTGGCCTTTAAATATGCTCTATCTCGCTTATAAGCCATTAGGCAGCAATGAGAAGTGAAATTATCATTTTATAATTGTGTGTAAATCTCTAGTTTCTAAGTTTCATAACAGAGTACTCAAACAAGAAATAAAATGTTTTTTTTTTCTTTTTTTTCCCCATTTATTTATTTTATTGCATTAAGAAATAAAATGTTGATCAAAAGATCACAAAGCTACAGTAACTAAAACAATGTGGTGGTGGCACAGGAAAACTCAAATGAATCAATGAAAACAAATAGTCCAGAAATATACATAGTTAACAGATATCTTAGAATTTAGTATCTGTTAAAATGATACTTCAAATCAGTGGAGAAAGAAAGGAGCAGGTGACCCTATCTCCTATTAGAACAAAAAGAAACTCTGGCAGTATTAAAAGTAGCAAAACTTAAAAAACTATCAATAGAAAACTTTAGAAAGTATATCTGTAATTCTCGAGGTGAAAAAAAACCTTCCTGAACAAGAACCAAAACTCAGAAATCAGTAAGAAAAAAAGGGACTGGCAAATTTTAAAATTTTAGTTTAAAAAAAAACTTAAAATTGACTTCTTGATATATAGTAATTGGACATATTTATGTGGTACATGTGATATTTTAATACATGCATACAATGTATAATGATCAAATTAGGGTAATAGGAATATCCATTACCTTACAGATTTCTTTGTTCTGAGAATATTCCAAATCTTCTCTTTTAGCTATTTTGAAATATGCAATAAATTGTTAACAACAGTCACCCATGCTATCAAAGACTAGAATTTATACCCTCTCTCTAACTGTATTTTTGTACCAATTAACCAGTCTCTCTTCATCCTCTCCTGCCTGCTTCCTTTTAGCCTCTGGTAACCATCAATCTATGCTCTATCTCCATGAGATCGATTTCTTCATATTCCACATATGAGTGAGAAAATGCAATATCTGTCTTCCTGTATCTGGCTTATTTCACTTAACATAATGTCCTCCAGGCTCATTAATGTTGCTGCAATAACAGAGTTTTATCCTTATTTATGGTTGAATAACATTCCACTGCGTATATATACTACATTTTCTTTATTCACTCATAGGTTAATGGACACTTAGATTGATTCATATCTTGGCTGTTGTTAATAGTGCTGCCATAAACACAGAAGTGCACATTCCTCTGTGACATACTGATTTCCTTTCTTTTGGATGTATACCCGGCTGTGGGACTGCTGGATCATATGGCAGTTCTGCTTTTAGTTTGGTAAAAAGTCTTTTTCAAAGGGTATTGAAATCTATCATATAAGTGAAAATAGACAGATGAAAATAAATGTATTAGTTTGTAAATATCTCTGCAGAGTAGAGAGGAACTGGGAAGGGGAAACAGCATTCGGATCACAGAACATTTCTGTTGCTTTGAAATTTTTTTTTTGCAGTGACTACATATTACTTACAAAATGTTTTGAGTAAAATTTTTTAAAAGAAGTAAAATGTGAGAAACAATTTAATCCTTAGAACATATAAATATACATACTGTCAAATCTAAAAAGCTTCCAAATTATACAAATGAGAATGCTACTTTTTCCACTGTATTTAATAACTACGTGATATTTAAAATAGAATTAAAATCCTGATCAGTGGTAAATCTGGTACCTTGGCTTCTTCAAGTTCCTTGTTGGCGGTATCCACCACAAAATTTTTCTCTTTTTGTAGTTGCTCTGCAAGTTGGTCAATTTTAATCAATTCTTTACAAAGATGCTCATTGTGGCTGGTTAAATCGTCTACTTGACTGCTTACCACCTCCTTACTATCCAAGAGTTTCCTAACATAGTCTTCCAAGCCATGATTTGTATGTTTGAGATCTTCAATCTGTTATGATTAGAAAGAAAATAATCACTATGTGACTGCAATTAGGAAGGGAGATTTGCTTCCCTGCCAAGGAAACTTAATTGTATACCTTTTTGTGCCTTATGAATTTTGTACCATGTGAATGTTCTACCTTTTTGAAAAAATATATTAAATAAAAATTTTAAATTTTATAGCAATATCTTTCAATTTATAGTTTTTTAAAAAGTACTGTTGATTTTTAACCAGTCTATTAGAAAAATGGCCAAATATTCATATCTGCAATAAAGAAACTTCAATACTTTTGAAATTAGTTTTACTACCATTTAGAGTTCTTTATAATTAAATTTCCAATTATTGTTATTAAAATATATTAACTCTTTTAAGCCAGGCATGGTGACTCACGCCTGTAATCCCGCACTTTGGCAGGGTGAGGCGGGCAGATCACCTGAGGTCAGGAGTTTGAGACCAGCCTGGCCAACATGGTGAAACCCCAACCCTACCAAAAATACAAACATCAGCTGGGTATGGTGGAATGCACCTGTAGTCCCAACTACTAGGGAGGCTGAGGCACCAGAATTGCTTGAACCTGAGAGGCAGAGGTTACAGTGAGCCCAAATCCTGCCACAGCACTGCAGCCTGGGTGACAGAGCAAGACTCCATCTATTAAAAAAAAAAAAAAAAAGTATATACATATATATGTATATATATTATTAACTCTTTTTTAAAAAGTCCATTTGAACGTATCAGTAACTTACTTGACTAAGCTAAATACCAAATCAATCAAGTATTTGCTGCCTAATGTGGAGGACCACAGCTTTCCTTCCCAGCCCACTATCAAACCATCAATGGATGAAGAAAAGGGCCTTTTCTATCACGAAGGTATCCAAATGCCTTTAAAGGAAAAAAAAAAAATTAGACCTATTGACCAATGATTATGTCAGGAACTGTATTAAATTCCAAAGATACAAAGATAGGTTAGATACCTGCCCTCAAGGAATCTGTTATTTATTTGAGGAAATACAAATATAATATGTTAAGTGCAGTAACAAAAATAATTATGAGGTAAAGTTGTGGTACAAATACTTTTCCATAGTACTTGTCTCTCATTGTTTATTTAACAAATATTTATTGAGCACCTATTGTGTTTAAGATACTGTGTTGGTATGCTGTAGCAGACGCAAAAACAAAACAAAACAAAACAAAAACCACACTCACACACAGAAGTTTCAGTGTGTAAGGAGCATCTGAAATTGCGAATCCCTGACCTCTTAGTTCTAGCATTATTCTTGCCCTGAGGTTGCCCTTTTCAAATAGCTATAGAGGCATCATCTTCCAAACCATCAAAATCAACAGTTGTCTTCAAAAAAACTTTGTAAGTTGTCACTACATAAAAAATATCCTAAAAGTCATGAATTGGCTGGGCGCCGTGGCTCACGCCTGTAATCCCAGCACTTTGGGAGGCCACGGCGGGTGGATCACAAGGTCAGATCAGCCTGGTCAAGATGGTAAAATTCCATCTCTACTAAACATACAAAATTCAGCCTGGCATGTAATCTCAGCTACTCAGGAGGCTGAGGCAGGGAATTGATTAAACCCGGGAGGTGGAGATTGCAGTGAACCGAGATTGTGCCACTGCACTCCAGTCTGGACGACAGAACAAGGCTCTGTCTCAAAAAAAAAAAAAAAAAAAAAAAAAAAAGTCATGAATCATTTTTAAAATGCTAAAATGCCATTTATTGTACGCAGCAAACAACACATCAAGAGGCATAATTAAAGTTATTTTAATCCAGTATCTCCTACTTTCTTCTTCTCTCTTGGCCTTTTCCCATCTACTCTTAAAAATTCTTTGAAAATGCAAATTTGAGGTCATTCCTATAATCTTATGTTGCCTCATGACACTAAGAATAAAATTTTAAAATGCCGTTTATGATCCTAACTCTACTTACCTGTCCAGCCTAACTTCCCACCACCAGACACACTATAAAAAACAATCTCATTAAAAATTTATTTTAGAGGACTTATTGAAATGTACACATTTGAAACTGAAAGGTCATCACAGAACCCTCTGAGAATCTTCAAGGAAAACCCTGCTTATGCTTCAATTTCAGGAAAATATATGCCTTTTTTGGATACCTGGTTTGTTCTTACCCTAACGCTCATTAATTATTTAACTAATATTTCTATTTGTCTTTGCCTTTAGAAATTTTGAAGCTAAATCTAATGTCCACCTCTAGCAACTTATACCAAAACTATGTACAATGATGTTTGTTGTCATCGCAGGCCTTCGCTGTTTCCTTATTTTATCCTACCCTTATTATTTCAGTTACTTTCTTTTAAAACAAGCTATAGTATGTGAAGCAAACGCATAAAGTCCAAGTTATGCTTTTCACCTTTGTTCATGGCTTCTCCTATGCCATGTTTCTCAGCAACAAGGGCACACTAAAAATGTCTGTTAACTTCCCATGCACCAGGAGATGTTAAATGCTTCTCCTTTCCAGTATGTGTGCCCATAAGGCCTTTTATATAAGTTTATCTCAATATTTTATAAGATGCATTAAAATCATTTATTTCCCTTTCCCTTCCGCTAAATTCTAAACAACTTAAAGGACTGTATGTTTCATTTAGGTATCAACATATCACTCGTTTCTACATCATTTATTATGTATCTCACATAATCCTCAAATTTTTAGGCAAATAAAACAAATTATCAGTAATATATGAACACTCCCCTCACTTCTCTCATGAAACTCTACTTTTACTCAATTCCAAGACAAAAGAACTTTAGAAGAGGCGGTCTAGAGCAATACAAAGGATGTGGGCTTTGGAATTTGGCAGAGTTAGGTTTAAATCCTGTTGTAGTTCTTTACCAGTTATGTAACTGGGCAATTTACCATATTTTCGTGATCCTAGGAAATGCATCTGACTCCAGAAAAAAAAAAAAAAAAAAAAAAAAAAAGAGAGTCTCTCGAGTTTCTTCTGTTAAATGGACAGAATGCCTACAATTTGCAGAATTGTCATTAGACATTATATAAGAGCTCAAGTACAATTTCCAGTATAAGTACTCAGTATTTTTTTAATTTTTAAGTAAGAGTCACAGGAAGCAAATGTAGTACAGAGAAGTCTCATACGTCCTTTACTCAGTTTCCACTGATAGTTGGGTCATAAACAGCACAGTACTGTACAGTAACGAACCCAGATACACCATGTGCATGGTGTTCTACATCATTTTTCTCAAACTTGCAGATCTCTGTAACTACCACCTCAAGATACAGAACTGTTCCATTACCACAAGACTAATCTCTTGCTGCTCCTTTATGGTCTCATTCCCCACCTCAATTCTTAGCAACCAATGCATACAATTTTGTCATTTTGAGAACATTATCTAAATAAAAGCATACAGCATGTAATCTTTTAAGATTTTTTTTTCACTCATCACAACATCCTTTAGATCCACTCAAGTTACTTGAATCAAATAGGTTCATTCCTATTTATCGCTGAATAATATATGGAATGCCACAGTTTAGGTTGTTTACAGTTTGGGAATATAATAAAGCTGCTATGAACAACTGAGTAGGATGTAAGTTTTGAGTAGATATAAGTTTTCATTTCTCTGGAACAAATGCACAGGAGTGCAACTGCTGGGTTATATGTAAATGTATGCTGAGTCTTACCAAAAAGTGCCAAATTATTTTCCAGACTGGCTATACCATTTCATATTCTTATGAAATTAATGGGATAAATGGGTGATCCAGTTTCTCCTCATCCTTGCCAGCATTTGGTATTGTCACTATTTTTTATTTTAGTCGTTCTTAGAACTGTATTATTTCATCATGGCCTTAATGTACATTCCCCTGTTTACAGAGGCTGAACATCTTTTTCTATACCACACATCCTTCTGTGAAGTTATCTCTTCATGTCTTTTGCTCATTTTCTAATTGAATTTTTTTACTATTAAATTTTAAGAGTTCTTCATTTGATACACCAGATATGAATCCTTTAGCAAATGTATGGTTTGCAGCTTGTCTTTTCATCATCTTAACAGGGTTTTCTGCAAAGCAAAAACTCTTTTTTTTTTTTTTAAACAGAGTGTCACTTTTACCCAGGCTGGAGTGCACTGGTGCAATCTCAGCTCACTGGCAACCTCTGCCTCCCGGGTTCAAGTGATCCTCCCAACTCAGCCTCTTGAGTAGCTGGGACTACAGGCCTGTACCACCATGCCTAGCTAATTTCTGTCACATTTAGTAGAGATGGGGTCTTGCCATGTTGGCCAGGCTGGTCTTAAACTCCTGGCCTCATGTGATCTACCCGCCTACCAAAGTGCATGGATTACAGCCATGAGCCACCACAGGCAGCCAAAAACTTCAATTTTGATTAAATCCACATTACCAATTTCTCCTTTTATGAGTCATAGTTTTGGTATCCTATCTAAGAACCCTCCACCCAAGCCTAACATCCTGCAAATTTTCTCCTATGCTACCTCCTAAAAGTCTCAGTCTTATGTTTTACATTTAAATCTGTGGTACGTTAGTTAATTTTTTATGACATGTGAGGTTTAAGTGGAGGGTAACTGTTTTCCCTATATCTAATTGTTCCAACACCACTTGTTGAAGACTATCTTATACTGGGTGTGGTCGCTCACGCCTGTAATCCTAGCACTTTGGAGGCAAGGTGGGCAGATCATGAGGTCAGGAGATCGAAACCATCCTGGCCAACATGGTGAGACCCTGTCTCTACTAAAATACAAAAAAAAATTAAAAAAAAAAAATTAGTCAGACATGGTGATGCATGCCTGTAGTCCCAGCTCCTCGGGAGGCTGAGGCAGAGGAATTGCTTGAACCCAGGAGGCAGAGGTTGCAGTGAGCTGAGATCACAGCACTGCACACCAGCCTGGCAACAGACCAAGACACTGTCTCAAAAAATAAATAAATAAATAAATAATTAAAAAAAAAAAAAAAACAAGAAAAGACTATCTTCCATTGAACTGCATCTTGATCTTTGTCAAAAAATCATTTGGCTGTACTTGCATAGGACTATCTGTAGATTCTCTGTTCAGTACCATTCATGTACGTATCTATCCCTCCATCAATATCACAGTCTTGATTACTGCAGTTCTAAGTGTTGAAATAACGGAGAGTTTTGTTTTTGCTGCCTTCCTGTGGATTACCCCAACATTTTTTTAGAATTCTATGTTGATTTATAGTGTTTTTGTGTGTAACTCGTTTGATCTTTTTCTACTGGTTGTCCTAGGCATTACATTATATATACATAACTTATCATAGCCTATATTTTAACAGTTCAAGTGAAAGTACAGAAGCTTTACCTCTTTTAGATCCCTTTACTCTCCCTATCAATAAAAGAATTGTCTTAACTATTTCCTCTACATGCATTTAGAACCACATTCAATAGTTAAATATAATTCTGAAAACTTTAAAAAAAATTTGGCTGGGACTAGTGGCTCAAGCTGTAATCTCAGGACTCTGGGAAGCTGAGGCAGGTGGATCACTTGAGTCTGGGAGTTCGAGACCAGCCTGGGAAACACGGCGAAACCCAAACTTTACAAAAAAATGCAAAATCAGGCCAGCATGGTTGTGTATGCCTGCAGTTCCAGCTACTTGAAAGGCTGAGGCAGGAGGACTGCTTGAGCCCAGGAGGCCAAGGCTGCAGTAAGCAGCGATCACACCACTGCACTACAGCATGGATGATGAAGCAAGACCCTGTCTCCAAAAAAAGAAAAAGGAAAGAAAAGAAAATCTATTTCATTTACCTATATTTTTTGCTCTATATATTATTCTTCCTTCCTACTTCTGCAAGATTACTTCTTTTATTATTTCCTTTCTGTTTAGAAAAATTCTTTTAGCTATTCTTTTAGCTGGCAACACATTACCTTAATTTTCCTTTATCTGAGAATGTCTTTATTTTCCCTTCATCCTTCAAGGATACTTTCTCTGGATATAAAATTCTGGGTTGACAGGTTTGTTTGTTTGTTTCTAGCACTTGAAAAATGTTGTGCCACTTCCTTACCTTCAATCTTTCAGATGAAAAATATCTGCTGTCACTTGAATTGGTGTTCCTCTATAGACAATGCATGGTTTCTCTTTCAGGATTTTTTTTTTTTTAGCTTACTTTTCAAAAGCCTAATTATGAAGTGTCTTGGCATGGATTTTTTTTTTTTTTGGTGACTCCTGTTAGGTATTCACTCACCTTCTTTAATCTGCTTTATGTCTTTGTGCCAAATTTGTGGGATATTCAGCCATTATCTCTTCAAATATTTTTTCAGTACCACCTTCTCTCACTTTTTTGTCAAACAGTTTTACCTGTCTCTGAAGCTCTATTCACATTTTTGTCAATCTATTTTCTCTCTGATGCTCACGTCAGGTAATTATTTTTCTATTGTCATATTCATTGATTCATTTCTCTCCTCCATTCTATTGAGAACGCTGAGTTTTTATTCTGTTACTCCATTTTTAAAACTTGTTTTGTCATAAAATATATATAATTTTCATTTTAAGTATATAATTCAGTGGCATTAAGTATATTCACAATGTTGTACAACCATCACTACTATCTATTTAAAGAATTTTTTCATTCCCCTCAACCAAAAAACTCTGTACTGATTAAACAATAATTCTATCTCCTTGAATTTGCCTATCCTGGGTATAGGCAGAATCAAACATTAGTTGTCTTCCCATGTCAGGCTTATTGTATTTAGCATAATGTTTCTGAGGCTCATTCATTTTGCAGCATTTATCAGAATGTGATTCCTTTTTGAATCTGAATAATATTCCACCGTAAGCACATACCATATTTTGTTTATCCATTCATTTGTTGATAGACATTTGGGTTTTTTCTACCTTTTGGCTATTGTTAATAATGCTGCTATGAACATTTATATATAAGTATCTACTGGAGTCCATGTTTTCAATTCTTTAGGGTATATACCTGGGAGTGGAATTGCTGGATCATACGGTTAGCCTGTCTTTTAAATTTTGAGAAACCATCAAAAGATTTTTCACCATGGTGGCACCATTTTACATTCCCATCAGCAATGCACAAGTTTTTCAGTTTCTTCACATCCTCACCAACACTTGTTATTTTCCATTATAACAACCATCCTAATGGGGATGAAGTGGTATCTCATGGTTTTGATTTGCATTTCTATAATGGTTGGTGATGTTGAGCATCTTTTTCATGTATTTACTGACATTTGTATATCTTCTTTGGAGAAATGTCTGTTCAAGCCCTTTGCCCATTTTTGAATCACATTTTGGGGAAAAGGGGCTAGTTGTAGAAGTCCTTTGTATATTCTGGATATTAAGCCCTTTCAGATAGGTAATTTGGAAATATTTGCTCTCATGTAGTTAATAGACTAAGTTTTTAGAGTAGTTTTAGGTTTACAAAAAATTGATTAGGGAGTATAAAGAGTTCCTACATACTTCCTCTCTCCCTCAACAGATAGCTTCCTCTATTATTTACATTTTGTATTAATGTGGTATATGTGTTACAATTGATGAAACAATATTGTTACACTATTAATAACTAATGTCTATAGTTCACATTAGGATTCATTCTTGGTGTTATTCATTCTGTGAGTTTTGACATACATAGGGTCACACGTATCCACTATCAGTGTATCATACAGAATAGTTTCACTGCCCTAAAAATCCTGTGCTCCACCTATTCATCCCCTCTCCCTCCAATTCCTGGTAACTACTGTTCTTTTTATGGTTTCTATAGTTATATAACCTTCATGTGGTTGGAATCACACATTTCACAGCCTTTACAGGTTTGCAACATGCTTTCAAGGTTCCGCTGTGTCTTTTCATGGCTACATTGCTCATTTTTAAAAGACACTGAATAGTACTCCATTGTATGGATGTACAACAGTTTGCTTATCCATTCACCTATTGAAGGACATCTTGGTTGCTTCTAAGTTTTTGGCAATTATAATAAAGCTGCTATAAACATTCATACATAGTTTGTACTCACTGACTGACTCTTATGTTTATCAAAATGGTTAAGATAAAAATTGAATGATTTTAGACCCATAACATTTAAACGAGCTCTGAATTAGTAGTTATTTATTCTCTATCTTCTTGTTTCAAAATAGGTTCCCATCCCAAATTGACTCAGGAAAACATGTTGTAACTAAATGCAACCTGTAATTTCAGTGTCGAGATGAATCTGTCTTGATTTCTCACTTCTCGTTCTAGCTGGAGGGTATTCTGGTAGTTTTCAGCTTCAGAAACTGGAGCCCCTAGACCAAAATCATGTTCTTTGGTGGTAACCTAGTAGAAAGAATGGGAAATAATATGGAGGCATTTGATTTAAAACAGCTCTATGATTTCCCACATCAGTAAATTTTGAAAATTAATAATATTCCTAGATAGGTTTTTAGCCATTTCCCATCAGCTAAGAGGATTTCATCAAACTTTACCTTCCTAAAATTCATAAAGCTTTTTCTGTGTGTTGTCCAAACGGTACTGAACATGTTTTCAAAGACAATCCCTACCCTATCCTTTTGGTAATCATGGTTCTACAGAAATATGGGTCAGTAGCAAATTAAGCAGTCTGCCTCTACAGGCTTGTGTTGTCCAAAATAGCTACTAGCTAGCCACATTTGCTGTTTGCTACTCCATATAAGCAAAAGGTTTGCAATTCATATCACAAAATTTTCCTAATATATAAATAATTTCTAGAAATAAAAAAGATAAAGAATTACTCTAATAGGAAAATTGGCAAAGAATGTGAACATTTACAGAAATGGCTCTTAAATATATTTTAAGATGTTCAATCTCAACCTTTACTGACACAAATTAAAATAACACTGAGATACCCTCTTTTAACCATCACACGGCAAAGATCAGTAAGTTGCATATATAACATAGCATCCTTACGCATCACCAGTGTATAAACTGATAGAATATTTATGGAGAACAATTACAAAAAAATCTATCAACATGACAAATGCATATAGCTTCTGTTCAAACAACCTCATTTCTAGGAATTTATACTACCGATATATATACATAGACATATGCAAAATAACAAATGTTAGAGACTTTTCACTTTAGCATACATACTACTCTGCATCATGCTGTTTTACTTGCCAACCTATCTTAGAGATTGTGTAACTTAGGGAAATAATTTTTTCTTTCCTTGAATCAAGGCTATCATTGTGTTAAAAGAAAATTTGTTATGAGCATCTTAGATCTTTCCTCAAAACACAGCTTCTGTTCTCCAAAGTCCCATCTAGGGAATTACAGAATCAGGATCTCCCCAGTCACTGACCTTATGTTGCACTCTGTGTAACCCAGCACCTAAACAGGCGGGTAGATTTATTTCCTTTTTTTTTTTTTTTTCTCTTCCCTAAACAAAACCCAATTGTTCTTCATTGCAGCAGTTACTGCCCCACCTGGAACCTCAGCATTAGATCTCACAGAATATTTCAAATTATGAAGCATTTAAACCCCTAGGAGCTGGGGTTAAATGCTTCATAATTCCCTAGCTAACATTTCTTACACAGTTTCTGCTGAAAAATGTGTTCCTAGTTATAAACATTTGATTTAGAATAACAGAGTGAAATGACTCCTCACTAGAGCAGTACTTTCCAATTTTTATTGAATGTTAAGAATCATCTGGGAATGCTGTGTGAATGCAGATTCTTATTCACAAACTCAGATTCGACATTTCTAAAAAGCTGCTTGGAGATTCCTATTTGGTTAGTACAGAGACTACATGCTGAATCATGCTGTGCTGTAAATTCTGATTTATTTAAATAGCAAGAATCTATTTAATTAAAGTCTAAATTCATTCAGAGTACTTTTGTAATTTGTCTCTTCCTACTTGTCCAAACTTATCTCTTACGTGACGCCTCCAAGAACCCCTCTATGAAAGACAAACTATGAAACACATTTTTTTTTAGAGGGTCTCACTCTGTCACCCAGGTTGCCATAATCACATCTGACTGCAGCCTCAACCTCCCAGGCTCAAGCAATCCTCCCACCTTAGCCTCCCAAATAGCTGGGACCACAGGCATGTCCCACCAAAATAGGCTAATTGTTTTAAATTTTGTAGAAACAGGGTCTCCCTATGTTGCCCTGGCTGGTCTTGAACTCCTGAGCTCAAGAGGTCCTCCCACCTAGGTCTCCCTGGGATTATAAACATGAGCCACCACACCCAGCCAACACATTATTAACACATATGCTCAAAAGTATTTTATCATCTGCTCAATGAGCCTTGCCCTCGGTCTTTTCTCCATTTAACTTAATACATTCCCAAGGCTCAGTTTGAATTCCACATTCTCTAGGTTTTCTCTGTCTTCTCCACTGCATAATGATCATGCCTTCATTGATATTCATATAGAGAGAACAATTCATGTTCTAAATTTTTCTGGATGTCTTCCTCATACATTTATTAGAATCTTAAGAACAAGCAATGTCCACAAACTCTCTATATCCCCACTAAACCTGTAGTTATTTATGTAATAAAAAGTGTCAATAAAAATTTGTTGAGATTGGTAATAAAGCAGTGTGATAAAGCAGAAAAAAATTAAACTTTCTTCCTTCACCTTGGTAAACCAAATAAAGTGAGGCTTTTGCAAAATTACCTATCAGGCCCGGCTAGGAACTGAAAATAGGGAGAAACCATGAGTCCACCTGACAACCCTAAGCAATCATGTTGGAGTTGCTACCTTCCTTCTACCAGCTTTGGAGGCAGTATTACTGGGGGAAAGAAACATCAGTGTATCTGAAATTCCTATGCCTAGCCTGCCAGTTTCCCCACCTCAGGCCACCTGAATATCTTCCATGTTGCTGCAATCTCTAACATCAATTAGAATGGAACTTGTGTTCCTATATAGTTCTTAGAGAAGGCAAGTAAAAGAACTTTCCTTTTTTAAAAAATTATTTTTAATTTATTATTTTTTATTTTTTTCAAGGTGAACTCTAAAATACGGAAGAACCTTCATTCTCAATTAGGAAGTCACATAGCAGAGTGGTTAACAGCATGTATTTTGGCATCAGCCCACCTACATTCATTATCCTAGTTCTGCCACATCTTAGCTGCGTGACGTTGGGTGACCTGGTTACTTTTCTATGGCTTCCTCATTTACAAAACAGGGATGATAATAAGTGTCTGCACCACAGAGTTACATGAGGATTAAATGAATTAATATATGTTTTAACTTTAGCACTTAGAATAGTGCCTGGCACATAATAAGCACTACATATATTATTATTTACTACTATTACTCATTCCTCTCACTGAGTCAACTTATTTAATTGGCTATCAAGTCCTACTGATCTTTTCAATAAAAATTCTCTCAGCTACATTTCTTCCATTCCTACTATCACTGTTTTAGCTCATGTTTTCAGACTGTAGCAGTCACATGTATTCACTTTACAAGTAAACTTATAAATAGCTAGAATAAAAATGAACCAGATACATGTTTCTGGGAATAAAAAGGTGTAAAACAAATAGAACTCTATAATTTCAACGCTAAATGAATCTAGGAAAGTCCACAACGAATCAGAAATTACAGCACAGCATGATTACTGCTACATCAGAGTAATACATATAGATGCTAAGGTAACACTGAGACAGAGGCTACAAAAAAAGTATTTCTGACTTCTACTTCTTCAAAAAAGACTTAGGATCTACTCCCCATTCCATAAGAACTATGAACATATCCTTACTGGAGCACTTAACACATTATATTACTTTTATAGGATGTCCAAGTCATGGCTACTTTAACATGTCTAAAACAGACTTCTTAATTTCCCCACCTGCACCTTTGATCTCTATTCTGCCTCCATTGTGTTCTTTCCCTGCCTTCATCATGTCAAATGGCACCATCTTTTGTGTAGGCACTTGCCCCAGGTAAAAAGCTGAGGAGTTTTTGAGTTTTCTCTTTCCCCGATTCCCATCTAATTGATTAGCAAACCTTGTTGGTTCCACCTTCAAATACATATCCTAAATCCATCAATTTCTCTATATTTTTCTTATCACCTCCCTAGTCCAAGTCACCATCATTTTCCACCTAGAACACTGCAACCATTCCCTGCTGTCTGCTTCTACTATTGCTCCCTACAACCTATTCTCCACACTGAAATCAAATCAATCATTTCAAAATAATGAAATCCTATGGGAGGGGAGAAGAAAGGAGAGGGAAAAAACAAACAAAAAAGAAAATTATAGTAAAATGATACTGGCTCAAAAATATGCCAGTGGCTTCCCACTGCAATTAAGAATAAAATCCAAACTTTTCAAGTCCTTAAATGATTTGGCCCTTGTCTTCACTGTAAAGATCTAGTACTCCCTCCTTTGTTCACCCACTAACTTTTTCTGTTCCTCTAATGTGCTGCTTCAGTCTGAATGTCTGTGTCCTCAAAAAATTCTTAAGTTGAAATCCTAACCCCTAAAGTGATCACATTAAGAGGCACAGTCTTGGCCGGGCATGGTGGCTTACACCTATAATCCCAGAACTTTGGGAGGCTGAGGTGGGTGGATCACCTGAGGTCAGGAGTTCGAGACTAGCCTGGCCAACATGGTGAAACACCCCCTCTACTAAAAATACAAAAATTAGCTGGGCACGGTGATGGGCCTGTAATCCCAGCTACTTGGAAGGCTGAGGCAGGAGAACAGCTTGAGCCCAGGAGGCAAAGGTTACAGCAAGCCAAGATCGCGCCACTGCAGCCGGGGAGACAGAGAGAGACTCCATCGCCCCCCCAAAAAAAAACAAAGGCATAGTCTTTAGAGGGTGATTAGGTCGAGATGAGTTGCCCATATACTATAGTCCCCAGAAAGCTTCCTCAACCCTTCTAATGTATGAGGACACAGTCTGAGGTATCATCTATGAACAAAAAGACAGGCCCTCACCAGAAACTGATTCTGCTGGCAACTTATCTTAGAATTCCTAGTCTCCAGAACTGAAGAATTAAATTAATGTTGCTTATATATTTCATTACAGCACCCTGAATGGACTAAGATATGTGCCAACAGCATTTGACTTCAAGTCCTCTGCTCTTGCTTTCCCTCTCTCAGGAACCCTTTCTACCAAGCCTTTCACATGGCTATCTTCTCACCCTCAACTTTTTGGCTGAAATGTCAGAAGGTCTTCCCTGATTTCTTACCTAAAGTAGCCTCTCTCCCAGTCACTCTCTCAAATAAGTGATAAGCTATTTGCACTTATCACTTCTTGAAATGATATCATTTATTTGCTCACTTGTTTACTGTCTGTCTCCCCCTACTAGCATATAAAATTCAAGAGCCCTAGGCTTTTGTCTTGTTACATCCCTATTGCCTTAAAAGTCCCCAGCACAAAGTTGAAACTCAATAAAACATTTCCAAAATAAGAAATTTTAATGATTCAAACAAAGCAGTTTCAATGATGGGTGAAAACAAGTCTGAAGAGGACTAAACTTCTTTTAGGAAGCATGATTGTGAGAGGAAGAGAGGTATAGCAAAAGGTGGAAGACGACCAAGGTTATGGAAAGGTCATTACAAAAGGAGAAAAACTTGCTCCTTAATTCTCTTTACAAAGGATCCTCTTTCAGAATTAAAGATGTATTGCCCTGAGACAAGCAAAAGCAAGGATACATAAAGATTTAGACACCTGTAATCTCAGTAATCCCAGCACTTTGGGAGGCCAAGGCCAGAGAATCACTTGAGCCCAGGAATTTGAGACCAGCCTGGAAAACATAGTGAGTCCCTGTCTCCACAAGAAATGAAAAAGAAATTAGCCAGGCCTGGTGGCAACTGCCTGTAGTCCCAGCTACTTGGGAGGCTGAGGTAGGAGAATAACTTGAGCCCAGGAGGTCAAGGATGCAGTGAGTCATAATCGCACCACTGCACTCCAGCCTGGGCAACAGAGTGAGATATTTTGGGAAACAATCAGCAAACTAAATACTGCAAGCAACAATAAAGATTAATCTTAACAAAATACTGAGTAAAGAAGCAAGATGTAAATGAATACTTAGTACAATTCCATTTATAGGAAGTTCAAAAACAAGCCAAACTATAATGTGCATGTTCACATACAATGATGTAAAACATTAAGGAAAATCAAGGAAGTGGCTATCTTTGGGGAGGGAAAGGAACATGTAATCTGAAAAGGTGATATACAGTAATACCTCTAACTGCCTCTGTGTACAGAGGCCTTCAAAACCAAATCGTCCTAAACAAACTTGTCTAAGCAACTGAAAAAGAAGACAGAAAAGAGCCCCCAGTGAATCTCTACACCTGATTCTGGGCTACAAGCAGTGATTTTTCTTCAGAAGGTAAACAATGCATGAAATATTTTGGAAGCTGCCATTAAATAATGCCGAAGTTTATTATTTAAAATTAATATTTCATTAATGTACCTTCCTAGTTATTTTTCACTAATTAAGACTGAAGAGTTTGGATAATAAATCAATTAAAATACAATCTGTTTTATCCTGGAGGCAGATTCGAAAGAGACATTCTACTTACATATTTATAACTAATCTGTTTTTTTCCCACTTACAAACCGATTGTTATTCTATTTATGTCCTCACAGGTAAACAAAGGATATTTGAAATGCTGAAAACCCTTTTAAGTAGAGAAAATTTTAAACAAGGAAATTTCCTAGGATATAAAGGACTGGAATGGAAGAAGGAAAACGCTGGGACACTGTCAGCTATGCAAACTTTCCTGAAGCCTCAAAAAAAAAAAAAAAAAAAGTGAAAAAATGTACTTATTTCTGTGAGTTTTTAGGTATCAAGTCTATGATCACTTAGTTATCCAATTTAAGTCTCAAATATGTTTTCAACGAAAGCCAGCTTTCCCTGCCTTACTGTACAACTCTTGCTGAAATTTATCTGAGATTTCTATGCAAATGCCTACGTAATCTCGGTCTTTCACCACCCCAAGTCTAGAAAGGGGCTCAGCAGTGAGCGATCGGGAGTCAGGTTTATCCCAAATCTGTGACTTCCAAATTCCTCGCTCCACCAGAGCTTCCAGAGCGTTTCTAAATAAAACAGTACCCCCAACAACCAAGTGGAAAGCTGCGGCAGGACGCAAAGCGGTGACCATAGGAACTGGGCTTCAACCTAACCTCCCAAGAAACAGGGGCAACGCGTGCTGCTGAGCTTCCGGTCCGCAGCTGTGCCCGCCACCGCCCCTCACAGCGGCTCCCCCGGCTCCAGCCCACCTCCGCCCGCCACGGCCCCGTACCCGCCACTCCCGCCCGCTTGCAGCCGGTTTTTCGGAGACCTTCCGGCGCAGGAGCAGCTCTCCCCACCCTGCGCATCTCCGCAGCTTCTACCTGGAGCTCCGGGTCCCTCCCCGAGCTCCTTGGCCCGCTGTCCTCCCCAGAGCTCATCCCCGCGACTGCCAGCTCTCGGCCTCCGCAGGAGATACGAGAACCGCCCCGTGTCCATCCTCCTCCCCTTTCTCCTCCCTTCCCACCCCCAAATCGTCCTGGCCCCGCCCCAGCGGAGTCGGAGGAAGGAGGGAGCCTGCGGGAAGGAAGCGGGGGCGGTTAGCGCCAGCCGGCGCCGCCGCGGCCCCGCCCTCACGCTCTGTACCGGAGTGGGGCTCGTCTTCCACCTCCCCGGCGCCCCAGCTTTGCTTCCGTCCCACGCGCCCCTAGGTTCCGTGCGCACGCGTACCTGGCTCGACCTTCCCTCTCGCGCTGACTACAAGCCGTGTGCGCGCACTTACGCACAGAGCGACGCGTACGTCCACCTGCCTGCCTTACAAGGCTACTTGGAGCGGGGGGCTTCTTCCCGGCCTGTCTGCGCGGCGCAGGCGCACGCCCACGCCCACGCAGCGCCTAGACGCCCGACCGGAGTGTTCTGTCTCCTAGTAACCAGCCGCGAGCCCCCTTTTCCAAGATTCACTTTTTATTTCCTGCCTGTGGCGGCCGCACCTGAATAGAACGCGCATGCGCAAGGCTGTCTGTCGCCGCGCCCTGCCTTCAGTTTGGAACACCTGAGTGGCTTTATGCCACTTTTCCCAGGGCTTGGACGTCATTCTGGACCCAAATTCGGTGAACCGGTTACTCCCAGAGCTGCAGCCAGGGCCCATTTTGAGGGAGACGTTCAGGTCCAGTCCTCCCGCTGCAGCCTGCTGGTAGCAAGCCGACCTGACCGGGTGAGCACGGGCAGCCTGCAATTAGGGGAGCCTGGGGACCACCGTCTCAGTCAGCTCTGGACGATCTGGGCTGAATCAGAAAGTAGCAGAACTAGCAACGAAAGTCCAGATTCCTGACCGATATTCCTTTTCCACATGCCAGTCCTTTTCCAAATCCCCTTACCTTAAAGTGGACAAATGAGCTTTTTGGTGAAAAAGAATGAGGGCTACATTCTTCTACCATTTTTTTTAGAGCCCAGCATGGAAAAAGAAACTCTTCTTAATATTTATTAATATCTACCATGTCCCTTCTTAAATAACCCAAGAGTTTCTGGATGATAATGGCGACTTTATCTCCTTTTCCTACAGATGACATAGATACTAGGTTTTTACAGCAATTCTCTGATGACCTTGATATGGTAGAACGCTGTGTATTTCAAAAGTAAGCTCTCATTTGAGGAAACTAACAATTCCTGGTTTTGCCAGGTGAGTACTCATTTTTTTTCCCCACAAGATATCATTGGCAGGGATAAACAACTTTTATGTTAGAACAAATTTAGTCATAAAAATACATTTAATATAAGTGCTTTGTTTTTCTAATCTTTATCGTTATTACATAGTCATATATTTTGTCACATTTATTTTCAGATATCATATATTTTGTAAGTTTAATTAGATACCAAAAACAATTAAGTGTCCCTGTTACTTTAAGAGGTTTGCGGACACAGGGAGCACATATCCTCTGAAATATTATTTTTAGTTGACAAAATAAACTGAGTTGTTGTGTTAGAGGGAATAACATATAATCTCATTTCCTCTTCAGATACTAAGATTATTTTGAATACATTATCTAGCATTATTAAAAACAAATAGGAAAGAATGTTCCAAGTTTAAAACTATCAGTTGAAGACTTGGGGGGGTGGGGAGATTATTAATATAGGAAGTAGGAAAGTACTTCCCTTACGGAAAGAATAAGAAAAATTTAAGCACTTATGTATGCCACCTAGATGGTACTGAAGATTCTTTGGATTGTAGGGAAATGATCATTTTAAGGTGAAGAGGGTGAAAAGACTCTTTTTTTTCCTACCAAGAACTGTTGGCTTTCTCCCCTAACCCGAGAAAGTAAAAATTTCCTTCCCTCTGTGGCAGGGTGGCTGATGCCTGTAATCTTAGCACTTTGGGAGACCGAGGTGGACGGATCACCTGAGGTCGGGAGTTCAAGACCAGCCTGGCCAACACGATGAAAGCCCATCTCTACTTAAAATACAAAAATTAGCCAGGTGCAGTGGTGCACATCTATAATCCCAGCTACTGGGAAGGCTGTGGCAGAGAATCACTTGAATGTGGGAGGCAGAGGTTACAGTGAGCCAAGATCACGCCACTGTTTATATTGTTTTCATTGAATAGAAATTCTCAATTATGAGTAATCAAACTCACCTGTTTTCCCCCCTTATTGTTTAAGCTTTTTAGGTCTTGTTCAAGAAATCCTTCTTCACCCCCAAGGTAACAGATATATTGTCCTTCATTTTCTTCTACTGCATTTACAGTTCTGCCTTTCACATTTAGGTCTTTAATGCATTTGCACTCCACTTCTGTATTTAAGATCCTGCTCTACTTTTGTCTTCATAGTGAGCCAGCATTCACAATACTATCATACTAAACTTAGTCTGTTCTATCCCCTTTGCCTTATAGTGCCACCTGTAACTTATGTGAAGTTCCTGAAATACCTAAGTCCAAGTTGCAGCTCTGTCATATTCTACTGATTATTTGTTCCTGTACCTGTACAAGGTTATTTTTATTACTTTCACTTTGTGGTATATTTTTAAAAAAAATTTTTTTCTGATAGAGACAAGGTCTCCCTATGTTGCCCAGGCTAGTCTCAAACTGCTGGACTCAAGAGATCCTCCCAACTTGGCCTCCCACAGTGCTGGAATTACAGGCATAAGCCATTGTGCCCAGCTGTGTAGCATGTATATATATTTTTTTCATTTCAGTAGTACAGAGGCATATCTTAATATCTAGTAAAGAAAGCCTCTTTGTTCTTTTTGTCCAGATTGATTTATCTCTGTATGTACCTTTATTCTTATATATATATATTCCAGATTTCTTCTTGAATGGCAACCTAAATGCCAAAGAGGCCCCAATAGACTTGTTCACCCTTCATGTCCTCAACTCTGAAGAAGTTAAGGTGGGACCCACAGGGCACCAAGTCTACCCTATTGTATTTGGTTCCTCCTCAGTCCCTTTATCTGAATGAAGTTTAATATGAAAATTGATAATTATGTAAGTTATTATTTTACATTTGTTGATTTTCAAATGCAATGTTTGATAGAGTTTTGTTTTTTAAAAACTTTTTTCAATTTTTTCAAAGAAGTTTTAAACCTACAGAAATGTAATAATAATAGGTAGAACCATTTTTTTATGCTTTATATCCTAGATTTATCAGTTGTTAGCATTTTGCATATTTTAACTCTCTTTCTGTATCCATCTAGCAACCTGTGTACCTACCTATCCATTGCTAAACAATTTGAGGGCATGTTGCAGATATGATTCTTCACCCGTATTTCGGTATGTATTTCCTAAGAACAAGGATATTGACTTATACAACCCCAATACAATTATCAATTCAAGGCATTTATCACATTGATCCAATATTAGTATCTAATAAATCTCCCACATCCAAATGTTGCAGTTATCAAAGTAATGATCTTTGTAGTACATTCCATCCCCTTCCCAATTCAAGAGCATTGGTTGCATTTGAAATCATGTATCTTTAGCCTCCTTTAATCTGAAACAGTTGCTCAGCCTTTCTGTGTCTTTCATAACATTGACATTTTTAGGTAGAAGCTATTTGTTTCATAGAAGATACCTCTGTTTGGTTTATCTGATTGTTTCCTCATGTTTAGATTCAAGTTATGCATTTGACAGTGGTAGTTCTAACAAAAAGAGAAACCAAAGAATAGAATAAACTCAATTTTATTAATTTGAAGGCAGTATTAGATATTCCTTTGATGAGGAAGAAAAATTCATCTTCAGGTTCCAAATCTAAGAAACAAGTATACCCATATTTCAGAATTTCATCGAGAGATCTTAAAAAATTTAGCTACGATGTATTTGATTCCCAGAAAGCCAAATATATACTATTTACCTAATTGTTGTATTAACATTTGAGTAACTACTATATTTAGGCTACTACAGTAGGCCTAGGACTCTCTTTTATTACAAACACTGATATTTAATCACAAATATGGATAAACAGGGTTTCAAGATGATTCTTTAGAAATGTTCAGTAAGTAATTAGAGCTTGATGAGTATGAATTGTAAATTACCAAAGATATACGGTAGCTAAATATGAAAGACATAACACATTCTAAAACGTGGGTGAGGCTGGGTACGGTGGCTGACACCTATAATCGTAACACTTTGGGAGGCTGAAGAGTGTGGATCACCTGAGGTCGGGAGTTCGGGACCAGCCTGGCCAAGATGGCGAAACCCTGTCTCTACTAAAATTAGCTGGGCATGATGGCGCACATCTGTAATTCCAGCTCCTTGAGAGGCTGAGGCAGGAGAATCACTTGAACCTGGGGTACAGAGGTTGCAGTGAGCTGAGACTGCATCACTGCACTCTAGCCTGGGCAACAGAGCAAGACCTTGTCTAAAAAAAAAAAAAAAATTAGCTGGGCATGGTGGCAGGCATCTATTCCAGCTATTCCAGAAGCTGAGGCAGGAGAATCGCTTGAACCTGGAGGACAGAGGTTGCAGTGAGCCGAGATCGCCCCATGTCACACCCCCCTGGGCAAAAAGAGCATAACTCTGTCTCAAAAAAAAAAAAAAAAAAAGTGGGTGAGTGCTTTCACTCAAAGCTGTGGAATCTGCTCCAGATCTCAGGTTGCTACTAGAGTATCCTGGGTAGATCACTCTTCTCCAGTAAGCCCTGGGCTTTCCCTAACCTTTACTGTGCCTGTCCCTTCTGCCATCCTGGTCAACTCTGCCTACCAGATTCCTGCCCATCTTTGAAAGCGCAACCCTGACCTAGGCTCCCCTCCTTTGGGAAACTTCCCAAGGTCTCCATCCATGCTGCATGATCATCTCTCTTAACAGATTGGGCATCCTTAATCACAAGTATCTTTTTCTTCTTTCTTTTTCTTTTTCTTTTTTTTTTTGGAGACAGAGTCTCACTTGTCACCCAGGCTGGAGTGCAATGGCATGATCTCGGCTCACTGCAACCTCTTATCATCCGGGTTCAAGTGATTCTCTTGCCTCAGCCTCCTGAGTTGCTGGGATTACAGGTGCAGGCCACTATGCCCAGCTAATTTTTGTATTTTTACTAGAGACGGGAAATTACCATGTTGGCCAGGCTGGTCTCAAATTCCTGACTTCCAGTGATCCACCCGCTTCAGCCTCCCAAAGTGCTGGATTACAGGTGTGAGCCACTGCACCCAGCCAATCACAAGTATCTTTATAGGACATCTTTATTTTTTGCAGAACACCTAGCAGAGTACTTGGCCTTCAGTAGTTATTTCTTTAGCCCATTAGTAATGAATTAAAAAGTTTTGCTAGCAAGAATGAAAGAAAGGATTAAGAGAAGTTCTACTAATTTCTGAAAGGTAATAAAACATAAAATCTGATTCCTTTTTAAAGACTTTCAAAGAAATCTTTAGAACCTGCAAACCCTCCCACAAAGAAAATGTAAACACTGAAAGGTGGGAGGCAATTTTACTTTATATATCTAATATCACCATGGCATTTCATTCAAATGAACATTGCCATGAAGTTAGGAAAATTCCTGCTGCATTCACTTGTCACATTTTTTTTCAGCAATCAAGTTGAAGAAACGTTTCCACTACTTAAAAAGGTACCTCCAAATTACTTTCATATTTGTTCAGCTATCCCAATGGGATTTTCACTTAGTAAATCTGCTACTCAGGTATCTGCTATATGTATGGATTCAAAAGTGGATGATCACCTAATACGAGGGACTGAAAAAAGCAGGCTGGAACCAATGACTCAGTTATTTCAAAACACCAAGAAAATAAGATTAGAAGACACAAATCAAGAAAACATTACAAGGATTGAAGGGATTGGCACAGGATCTCTTTCTGAGAAAGCCTTGGGTTCAGTGGTATACGTCAAAGAAAGTGATGGACTAGAAGTGACAGATGTGGAATGAAGCAATTTGTATGTATTATCAATTTGTACGTATTGCCTTTGATTACCAGGGGGTATTGAAAGAGAACTTAACCTTATTAGGAAACCCTAACAAAATGACGGAAGACTATTGCTTTATTTTTCGCTATTTATCAATCATCTTACACTGCATTTTTTGATGATGCCTATTCAAAAGGCAGTTGCTTTAGGGAGAAAAAGCCTTCCAAATTCAAAGCAGATTTCCCTGATATTATATCTTTCTTAAAAATGAGAGTTACTTAGTAACAGTATTTGAATGGCACCAAAACATTTCCATTTTAATGTATTTCTTTAACAAGTGGTTAAAAAAAAGTATCCAAGCAGCCAGGCACGGTGGCTTATGCCTATAATCCTAGCACTTTGGGAGGCTGAGGCAGGTGGATCACCTGAGGTCAGGAGTTCACAACCAGCCTGGCCAACATGGTGAAACCCCATCTCTACTGAAAATACAAAAAATTAGCCAGGTGTGGTGGCAGACACCTATAATCCCAGCTACTTGGGAGGCTGAGGCAGGAGAATCACTTGAACCTGGGAGACAGAGGTTGCAGTGAGCCAAGATTGCACCATTGCACTCCAGCCTGGGCAACAAGAGCGAAACTCTGTCTCAAAAAACAAACAAAAAAGTGCCAAGCAATGTGACCTCTGTATTTCACAGTATTTCTGATGTACCAGTTTTGCATATTACATTTCCATTTTGGGATTCTGCTTTAGGATACTTTCTTACATTTTGCATTTCTGGTCTGTAAAAGATCACTGCAGATAAACTGCAAAAGACCAATAAATTGCTTATCTTCAGAAGCATCTCACATTTTAAATTGTGCCTTTAAAACTGTTTTTCCCCCCCACCACATAGAATCCATTTTAGAGTTAGAAAAGAGTTCTTTCCAAGTGTTAATAGTTATCTTGCACATAGTACCATTTTATGTCACCAATATTTAATATGAGAAAAACCACCTGGAGTTTAAAAACTGTGTTTTGTATATCAGCTATTAAAATATCTTTAATATTCATTTTAAAAGAGGAAAGGGCATCTTTTCCAGAGGGAAGCTATATTTTATTAATCAGAAAAATACTAAACAAATGTGTTTGTAGGGAATATTGAGTGAAAAAAAAATGTTGAATGGGACCTAAGCCAAAAAGACAATGCTTTTTATCATCTAAGAAACATAATTCTTTGGGAGGCAAAAAAAAAAAAAAAAAAAAAACACAAATCATTCATTTGTTCACGCAGCCTGGCACTGTGCTTGGCGCTGGAGATACAGTAGTGAATACAATAGTCACTGCCTTACAGAGTTTTGTGCCTGTCTACTAGGAAAGACAGGACATTATACAGTAATTATCTAAGATACAAATTGTGATATGATGTGAAGAAAAAATATAGCATACAGAGAAACACAGCACACCCAAGACATACCACATAAAGCTGGGTGTTTTTGTTTTATTTTGTTTTGTTTAAGATGGTCTCACTCTGTTGCCCAGGCTGGAGGGCAGTGCAGCGATAATAGCTCACTGCAGTGTCGAATATTCCTGTTCTTAAGTGGAATTCCTGCCTCGGCCTCCCTAGTAGTTAGGATTGCAGGCATGTGCCACCACACCCAGCATGTTTTTCTATTGTTTTTAGAGGCAGAGACTCACAATGTTACCCAGACAAGTCTCAAACTCCTGGCCTGACATGATCCTCCCGCTGGGCCATAAACTTGATTTTAACGTGGGGTAATGGGAAGGCATATGTCAGGACATTTTTGAAAGCAAGTTTATTAAGAAAGTAAAGAAACAACAGAATGGCTGCTCCATAGAGCAGCCTCAGAGGACATTTATAGCTTTTGCAGTGACATGGTTGACTAAGTGAATGATGGTGATAGTCATAAAAATGGAGAGAAGGGGACAGAGTCCAGGTGAAGTTTGACAGAATGTAGTCACAGTTTGGAAGTGGAAAGTAAGGAAGAAGAAAGGGTTTCTAGCAAAAAAAAAAAAAAAAGGGCTAGATGCATGCAGGATCCCTGAAGAAAAAGAGTGAGTTCAGGAGCATGGTTTTTCCACTTACCAGGTTTACAAGGTAGTTGTATCTATGGAACTAAAAAGTGCAAATTTTGAAGTTGTATACAAAAATGGTACTTAAAGCCATAGAATGAATGAAATTGCTTAAGGAGAATGTAGTGTGAGATAAAGATCTGAAGAACTACAACATTAGATCTGAAGAACTACAACATTTAGGGGCTGACTAGATCAGGGTAGCTGGCAAAGGGGACTGAGGAATTTACAGGGTAATGTCATAGTTGTCCACAGGAATCTTTCCAAATGAACAGTTAGTTGAGGACTGAAAAGTCCACTGGATCTAGCAATATGAATGTCACCAATGACCTTAGCAAAAGCACTTTTGCTGGAATAATGGGGGAAGCCATTTTGGCGTATGTTGAAACAATGAATGGAAAGTGAAGTAGATTCTGGATGTTTAGCAGTTTTTCCAAGAAGTTTGGCTCAGAAGGGTAGTAGATGGGATGAAAAGTGGAAAGAGAAGTGAGGTCACTGGAGGATTGTTAAAGAGTACAACATGTTTGAGTGTCACTGGAAGGTTCCAGTGGAGAAGCTAAAGAAGTAGGTAAAGGTAAGAATAACCAAGGGACAGATGTCTTGGAGCAGGGAGGAGGCAATGGGATTCTTAATTAAAACCTCTTCAGCAAGAAACTAGGATGGAAAAAACCCCAAACTCTACCATCTCATATTTCAGAGAAAGAGAATTTAGAAGGAAGCATGTAAGTAAAGGGCAACAATATTCTGTTACTGTTTTTTAATAATAACAAGGAAAATTCCTACTGGAGTTAACTGAACAGAATTCATTCCCACCTGCATAATACAAGATAGACTAACTCAAGGTGACCTTAGTAAAAGGTGTAATCATAAAGAAATGAGATATCATTATGTCTTCATTGTAGCATTATATGAAGCCCTGGTCATTTACCGTATCAGTGTCACCAAACTCAACACTTAATGATTCTTACTCCAAGAGGCAAGTCTTAGTGGTTTCTATTTTAACTGAAGGAGAGATTAGTTTCTGTGCAAGAATGAAAAAGATAACCATAAATTCTTCCGGCGATAACCATAAATTCTTTGGGCTTCTCTCATCAAGAGGTAAAGTCCAGTACCCCTTAACTCTGGGCTGGCTTTGTTGTTGTTTTGACCAACAGAATGTGGCTGAGGCCCTGCTTCCAAGATTAGGCCTGAACTGAGGTCCCCTAGCAGCCAGGCACCACCTGCCAAAGCGTGAATAAAGCTATCTTGGACCACCCAGCATAGCCAACCTGTGCTGAATGAAGCCACATGAATAAGCCTAAGAGAAACCTGCAGAGGAATCTCCGACCTTGCCCACAAGTTAGAGATATAAATCACTGTTTGAGGCAGTTCGTCATGCGGCAGTACTTAGCTGAAACTATTACCTTCCTACCTTGGCTGCTGGGGTAATTTCTCATCTCATGGAGCCACAGGGTTTTCTTGCCAACTGCAAAGAGGTGGCAAATGGGAATGACGATCACTAGCCTCAGTGTGTTCTCTGATCCACTCCATACTCTGTTGTCATCTCTATACTGCGAATACCGTTTATTCCTTTAAATGCAATGTGTCTTTCAAAACTGACTTCAATGTCCTCACCTTTCAAGTGGAGTTTCCTGCCATTTTAAGTAACTTATTTGGAGGAGATAGGTAAAGACCCAGCGTAATGCCTGTATCCTCAGTAAAAAGTATTTGCTGATACTCCTCCCTCCCCGGCCTGTGACCTGGCTGCTCTGGGCTTCTGGGGGCTCCCCCTAAACTCGCTCCACGAAATGCCCTCTCCAACCTGGCACACCCGCTCTCCTACCTTCACCCAGGGATGGCCGTTATCTCTGTGCGTCACGCGGGTAACTCCCATCTGAACTGGGAACTGGGGCTTTATGATTTTCGGTACTTTTATTTGAACGTGGGCCACGTCCCTACATGGAATACGGTTCCTGCCTTGAAGGACCCTTACTTAACACCTCTGCGGGCTGCCCGGACTCCACGACCCCGCAGATGAAGAAGCCCACCGTGATCCCTGCGCGCCCCGCCTTCTCCGGCGCTTCCGGGTGCTGGCTCTCAGGGGGCGGGACATGGTCGCGCGCAAGGCCTGCCGGGTGCTCGGGATCGGAAGCGCCTTCTCCAGCTCCAGCCATCGCGAGGCAGTGAGAAAGACCGGAAGCAGCAGGTGGGTGAAGCGGAAGCGCTTCTAATCGGGAAGCTGCGGGCCGTGGCGCGTGGGCAGGTGTGGGCGTCCGTGAGCGCGCGGGGTCTCTGGCGGTGGACCTGCAGGTAGTCTCCGCCGGTGCTGAAGGCTTTTGTCTGCACACTTTCCCCTCAGCGCTGGGGACGACCTGATTTCACTGTTAGGAACTGTTGATCCTGAACACAGGAAGAGGGACGCGCCAGCTGTGTGCACGTCTCCTGAGAGCCAAAAGGGCGAAATAAAACATGAACACGATCATAATGAGATTCTGAGTAAGTTGTGTATTATCAGAGAGGGGGCAAAATAATAGGTTCTTGGCAAAGTTTTAAGAAGAAGCTGCGCCTGCCTAGAAAGATAAATGAGATGGTGCTGTTTTCACTTTCAGTTCAGTGATGGGGAGGCGTGTTTGGCAGTGCAGAGGTAGCGAATTGTCCCAATAACGTGGAAGTTAAGGAAGTCTTCTGAGGAAAAACTTTATAAAATTAGTCATTAAAAGGTGAGAGTCGAGAGATGCAAAGTGATTTTGAGGGAACAAAATTTACCCAGACCTTCAAAGGCTTGACACTATCCCGACCACTGTGAAATATCCTGAAATACTGTGGGTTTTTTGAGACTGAGTCGCTCTGTTGCCCAGGCTGGAATGCAGTGGCTCGAATCTAGGCTCACTACAACCTCCGGGTTCAAGCGATTCTTCTGCCTCAGCCTCCCGAGTAGCCGGGATTACTGGCGGCCACCACCAGGCCCTGCTGATTTTTGTATTTTTGGTAGAGATGGGATTTCACCATGTTGGCCAGGCTAGTCTCCAACTCCTGACCTTGTGATCCGCCTCGGCTTCCCAAAGTGCTGGAATTACCGACATGAGCCACAGCGCCCAGTCATCTACTTTTTTTAATAGCCCTTTTTATCACCTTTATTCGTTTGACTCACTAAGTCAATTAACTAACTCACTAACTCACTAATTCCAGTGCTAAGAATGTCTGTCATGTAATTGAAGAAAACTTGGTTGAATTAATACCTTTGTTGTGTTTCATTCACACTGTATATACAATACCTGATGACTAGAGATATTTTGAGCACTATTATAATACATGCATTGGCTCAATACATGAATTGGATCAAATCTTCAGCATTAACAAGATCATATTTTGGCTAAAGTCAAAATCTTGGACTACAGTTTATTTATCAAGGTAAATGCCACTTTGATGTGTTTTGGTTAGGAATCCTTGTTCAATTGAGGGAATACATGTTATATAATAGGAACAGTAAGCACAGGATAGAGATGGGAAAGGGGTACCCTGTCTTGCGTTTGCCAAACATGAATGGCTTATGCATACGAACACATTCTCTCAACCATTTTATGAGGTCTGCGGCCCTTGAAGCAGCTAGAGGGTTAAACCATTTCCTAAAGTCATTCAGTGAAGTGTCAGAGCCAGGATAAAAAATGTAAGTTCTTAACTACTTTGTTATCCTGCCACACTCTGCATATGCAGACAAGAGTGAGAGCCTTAATCTTAGGAAAAGATATTTCACAAGATCTTTGACAATCTCTGTATCCACAGACACCATCCAGTTTATTAGTGTCCACCACTCCTATTTGTTACTTCTCCTTTAAGGCTCCCCGCTACCTGAACTCTGGATCCCAAGACCACCACTTTCCCAAGGAAACTCCCTTCTCCAATGTTGCCCTCTCTTGACTCCCCTACCAGCATCTGAACATGCTCAGATCTTTTGCATCTTAAATCCTAACTCCACATTCCTTTCTAACTACTGCCCTAGCTTTTCCACTTCACAACTAGAATACATTCATTGTATCCACCTTGGTCCTCCTGTTACTCAGTACATATGATTCTTACCAAGATCACTGATAACCTTCTTGATACTGTTAACTGTAATAGATCCTTTTCAACCCTCATCTTATTTGCTCAGTCTTTGGCATTTGGCACCGTTAACCATCTTGTCTCCTTGAAACTTTCAAAATAACATTTTAAATTTTTCTCCCTTTTTTTCTATCCTCAGCTTCCTTTGGCAGCTCTCCCTCCATCTTCTGTATAGCCCTTAAATGTTGCTGCTCTTCAGGGTTATGTCACAGGCCCTTAAATCTTCTCACTGAATCATCTTCCTAGGCCTCAGTTACTATATCCATTGAGCTCTATGCCATTGGCTGCTAGTTCAACACAATCAAAATGAACCAATTATCTTAACCCCATACTTCCTCTTCCTATAAAATCTGTTCTAGGAAATTTCACCTCTTTCCACCTTTTTGCCAGACCAGAAATCAGGGCATAATATTAATAAAATAGTTAACACATATTGTATACTTTCTTCATTGCCAGGCACTCTTCTAACAGACTCACCCTGATAATATGAGATGAGTACTGTCATTATCCATATATTAAATAACACATCTGAGGCACAGAAAAGTAATCTGCCTTAGGTCATTCAACTGATAAAGGATAGAGTTGGGATTTCAATGAGGGCAGTCTGGTTTGAGCTTGTAATCAGTATATCATAAAGGACATGATCCTTGACTTCTCTTTCTCTTAGCCTAATTCAACCAATTACCAAGTATTATATATTCTCCATGCTTAAATCTCTGGGCGATATCTCTGAAGTATAAATCCAATCTTCCATTTGTTTAAAACCTCAGCCCTTGGCTAGGCCCTCATGCCTGTAATCCCAGCACTTTGGGATGCCAAGGGGGAGGACTATTTGAGCCCAGGAGTTTGAGACCAGCCTGGACAACAGAGTGAGACTTCATCTCTACCGGGAAAAAAAAAAAAAAAAAAAAAAGCCAGGCATGGTGGCACATGCTGGCTAAGGTGGGAGGATTGCTTGAACCCAGGAGGTCGACTCCAGTCTGGGCAAAAGCGTGAAACAAAAAACAAAACAAAACTTCAACACCTCCCCCATGATTCTCAGGGTAAAGTTCAAGCATTTAACGTGGATTTAAGGCTCTTTATAATCTTCTCTTGCCTTATTTTTAACTCCCATCCTTGTATTCCTAAGTAATAGCAAGTAGAATTAAATTATTTCTATGGGTCCTTTCTCCTTTTCCACTAAGCTGTTGCACATTGTTAGAATTCTTTTCTTCACCCCTTTTATGTCTCAGCTTCAATGTCACATCCACTAATTAGAGCGTTAGATGGCCCCTGATGTACCTAACACCTATCACAGCATTTCAGACACTGTATTTTAATTATTGCCTTACTTGTTTTTTAGTATCTTCCACTAGATTGTGGAGATACTGGTTTCTTGAAGGCAAGGACCAGTTCACCTTCTTAATATCACTCATATCCATCCCCTTCTCTCTCTGTCTCTTTCTCTACTGCTGTACTTTAGGCCCCCATTATCTCTAGCTTGGACAACTGCCTTAGTCCGTTAACTGTTCTTCCTGTCCCTAGTCCATCCTTTCTTTAATCCATGCTCAACCCTGCAGAGGCAGATTTGTATAATGGCTGACTGAACACTTCCACCTTATAACTGCAGTGGAGCTTAGCTGCCTTTTAAAAAGTCCAAATATTATAGTTATTTACATGAATTTATCTCTTCCCATTTTCTATCTCCTTATTCCCTTGTACCTAGTAGGTACTCCATAAATATTTGTTGAATGAATGTGGTATTGTATCAAAGTCAGTCAAACAGAACCAAGAACAAAGAGGTTAACCGAAGTAATGCAGTCTCAGTGCAGAGGCTTCCTAGGACAGTATAGCTATAGGCTTTAGTGTAACTCGAGACTAGTAGTGTAACTCTTTATTTTAGGAGGGAATCCCCAGAACCTTACTGTAATTAGATGACTCTTTGTTTTTGCGTATGCCTGGAATCTGCTCCTCCCATTGCACTCCAGCCTGGGCAACAAGAGTGAAACTCCGTCTCAAAAAAAAACAAAAAAGATATACGTAATGTGGCTGAGTGCAGTGGCTGATGCCTGTAATCCCAGCACTTTGGGAGGCCAAGGTAGGAGAATCACTTGAGCCCAGGAGTTCGAGAACAGCCTGGACAACATGGTGAAATCCTGTCTCTAAGAGAAAAAAAAAGATATATTACATAATGTATTTGCAGCAGACTTACTGTTTGAAAACTGTGAAACTATTTCAACTGCAATTATTTGAAATTCGTCTTTATTTATTTCTTTTGAATATTCGGTTATAGCATTGCTAAAGATTAATTATAAAGCTAAAAGCCAAAAGCATCTGCACTGGATACTTAGAGATTAGTTTGGATTGAATAGCCAATAATTGATAGCCAGAAAATAGAATTTAATGTTCCTTTTTTTGATGAGTTAATTTATTTGTCTTCCATTTTTAAAAGCATGCTGATCCCATTTTCAATGAAGAATTGCTTCCAGTTACTTTATAACCGCCAGGTCCCAGCAGCTGGCTTTAAAAAAACGGTAAAAAATGGATTCATTATACATTCAATTTCCAATGATGTCTATCAAAATCTGGCTGTAGAAGACTGGATCCATGACCATATGAATCTAGAAGACAAACCAATTCTATTCTTTTGGCGGAATTCTCCCTCTGTTGTAATTGGTAGGCATCAAAATCCTTGGCAGGAATGTAACCTGAATCTGATGAGAGAAGAAGGTATAAAACTGGCTCGGAGAAGAAGTGGAGGAGGAGCAGTCTACCATGATATGGGTAATATCAATTTGACTTTCTTTACAACCAAAAAAAAGTATGATAGAATGGAAAATCTGAAACTAATTGTGAGAGCTCTGAATGCTATCCACCCTCAGCTCGATGTGCAGGCTACCAAAAGGTTTGACCTTTTACTTGATGGACAGTTTAAAATCTCAGGAACAGCCTCTAAGATTGGCCGGACCACTGCCTATCACCATTGCACTTTATTATGTAGTACTGATGGGACGTTCTTGTCTTCTTTGCTGAAGAGCCCTTACCAAGGGATCAGGAGCAATGCCACTGCTAGCATACCTTCCTTAGTGAAAAATCTTTTGGAAAAGGATCCCACTCTGACCTGTGAAGTACTAATGAATGCTGTCGCTACAGAGTATGCTGCTTATCATCAAACTGATAATCACATTCACCTAATAAACCCAACGGATGAGACACTGTTTCCTGGGATAAATAGCAAAGCTGAGGAACTACAAACCTGGGAGTGGATATATGGCAAAACTCCAAAGTTTAGTATAAATACTTCCTTTAATGTGTTATATGAGCAGTCACACTTGAACATTAAAGTATTCATAGACATAAAGAATGGAAAAATTGAAATCTGTAATATTGAAGCACCTGATCATTGGTTGCCATTAGAAATACTTGACAAATTAAATTCAAGTCTTGTTGGCAGTAAGTTTTGTCCAACTGAAACTACCATGCTAACAAATATATTACTTAGAACATGTCCACAAGACCACAAACTACACAGTAAATGGAATATTCTCTGTGAAAAAATTAAAGGAATAATGTGATTTTAAGTAAATTTCTTAATCAGTTAAGTTAGAAAATAAAGTCTCATACATGCACATTGTTAATGTCTCTTCAAAAAAAAAAGAAAGCCTAGTCTCTCAGTAACTTCTCTCCATCTGAAATTATTTATAACCTATCCCTACCTCTGTATTTCTTTTGACCTCTAGGATCCTCTTTCTTCTCTTTCTTTTCTCATTGATTTTATTTTATTTATTTTGAAACAGTCTCACTCTGTCACCCAGGCTGGAGTACAGTGGCACAATCTTGGCCCACTGCAACCTTTATCTCCTGAGTTCAAATGAGTCTCATGCCTCAGCCTCCCGAGTAGTTGGGACTACAGGCTTGTGCCACCACACCCAACTAATTTTTTTCTATTTTTAGTAGAGATGGGGTTTCACTGTGTTGGCCAGGCTAGTCTCGAACTCCTGGACTCAAATGATCCGACAGCCTCAGCCTCCCAAAGTGCTGGGATTACAGGCATGAACCACCATGCTCTTTCTGTTCATTGATTTTCAATATCTGGCGCATATTTATATTTCAGCTGCTGCTGCTTTTACTGTCTTGAGGCTGTATACAATATTGGACACTGTGACCTCGGAATTAGTTCTCTGTTTCTCTTACCTCTCGGGGATATAACCCAGATCTTTCTTGCCACCTCTCCTTATATCTCAAACTCTAAAATTTTCCCTTTTATTTTCTTATCTTTCTATTCTCTCCCACTAAAAATCAAGGCCGTTGCACTTTTCTAAGCTCTTAACCCTTCCCCAATCCCTCCTTGCATCATTTCCCTTCTATCCCAGCCTGAAATTTACTTTATGTTGTGCTTTCTTACCAGTATTCTCATTTGCTTCTCTCCTTTGACCTTCTACCATAGCCACTTTTTTAGTCTAAACAATTGATTTTCTACTCTTTTTGGCAGTGATGCTGGGAGGAAAGATCATATAATCATTGAAGATAGCCCAATTTGGTATATATAATTTTCAACTTATGTATCTTTCTGCTGATGTCAGATTTAATTCATCTCTGGTTGAGTACCCTTTATTCTTGAGGGGACTTACTCCAAAATTTTCCACTCGAGAAAAGTTCAGAATTCCACTACTCTTGTCACAAACTTTTATTCATGATTTGGTGAGAGTTGAGGCCTTCAGAAATGATCCCCTCTACCCACTGTGACCCCCGTCCTCCCCTTTCCCTTCCCCTTCTATTCTTTCAAGACAGGGTCTTACCCTTACCCAGGCGGGAGTGCAGTGGCATGCTCATAGCTCACTACAGCCTTGAACTCCTGGGCTCAAGTGATCCTCTTGCTTCAGGTTCTGGAGTAGCTGGAACTACAGGTGCTCAACACCATGCCCTGCTCCCTCTTTTTTTATGAGTTATTTCTTTTAATATATCTCAGTTCCAGGCCCCTTCCTTTTTTTATTTTTAGGAAGAGCAGGCATGGACACAGGGTTTTGCTTACCACTGATTATCTCAGAGTGGGGGTGGGGTATGTGATTTTACTTTTCAAGTTGTTCTTGGGACAAACATGATTGGCAGTTTAGCAGGTTTAATGGGCAGTTCCTTTTGTTATCTAGAAGCAATATTAAATACCAAGTAAACACAGCTTTGAAGAGATTTGTCATGAGCATATTGCACTTGTTGGCACATGTGAAAATTATTTTCTGAGAAAGGTCAAAAATCTTCATATGATGTGCTTTACTGCAGTAATATCATTTGTTTCTCCAGAGAGGATATCATCAGGTGAAGGGTTTTAAGGGCTTCGAGTTCCAGATTTCTGAATGTCTGCATATGGGGGGAGAGAGGAGTCAAAATGGTGGGTGGGTGGGTGTGTGTGTGTGTATACACACACATACATATATATATATGTAATGGCTCATATATATATAATTTTATTTTTTGAGACAGAGTCTCACTCTGTCGCCTAGGTTGGAGTGCAGAAATGTGATCTCAGCTCATTGCAACCTCTGCCTTCCGGGTTCAAGTAATCTTCCCACCTCAGCCTCCTAAGCAGCTAGGACTACAGGCCTGCACCACCATGCCCGGCTAATTTTTATATTTTGAGTAAAGATGGGTTTTACTATGTTGGTCAGGCTGTTCTTGAACTCCTGACCTCAGGTGATCTGCCTGCCTCAGCTTCCCAAAGTGCTAGGATTACAGGTGTGAGCCACTGCACCCAGCCTTTATGCCTAGATTTCTTATTTGAGATTGGATGGATGGGAGTATACATGGGGAGTAGGAGAATATATAAAAAAGTTCGATTGGGGTGTATTATATTTGAAATGTTTGTGTGCTTCTGAGATGTCATATAGGCAGTTGAATAAGAACTCCAAGGAGAAGTCTTGGCTTAATTTGTAAATCTGAGGGCTGATAGCATATAAAAAGTATTTGAAGTCAAGAGAATAAATAATTTTGGACTTTTATAATGTAAAGTTTAAATTTTAAACTAAATATTCTGCATGAGTCCCCTTATATGTTTGGGGACTTCTCTACCTTATAAGACCTGGTAGGAGGTAGAGCCTATTTCCTTCCATGGAAACAAAAGATTACTATACTCTTTCCTGGCCTTGCTTGAAGCACAAGTGTGGGCACATGACTTACTCTGCCAATCAGATGCACCTGCTCCATACTTTGAATGAGACACTAGTGATGCAGAAAATCTGGAATGATAAGAACCCTTCTCTGGAAGTAGCGACAGGAGCCTGAATTTCTGGGGTAACAAAGGCAATGAGGCTGGCAGTGGTAGTGTCTGTGCCAGTGATGTCAGTGATGTAGGCTGCTGCATCCAGCCCTTGCATCAGTGTCAGCAGGGGTGTCATCTGATCCATTCTGGGTAGTGATTCTAGATGTGATTTTTCACTGCAAAGCCTCTGTGTCTCAGTCTATACCTCAACTACCTACTATTCTTAAAATAAATCCCTTTTTTACTTATATCATCAGGTAGGAGCAGTTTTTGTTGCTTTTTACTAGGAACACTTACTGTGTAATCACTTAGGGAAAGAGTGTGAATTAAAAAGAAAAAAAAAAAGAGGTTACTATCTAATACCTAGCTTGGGAGAACTTCAGTATTTAAAAGGTAAGAAGAATGGAGGAAGAAAGTATGTTTCATGAAAGTCAAGAATTCAAGAAGGGAGTAGCCAACTGGGTCAAGTGCTTCTGAAACATCACATAATACAAAAGATTAAAAATGCCCATTGGATATGATGGTATAGAGATCAGCATTGACCTTAGCAAAAATGATTTCAGTGGAGTGATTGGGGCAGTAGCCAGACTGAAGTGAGTTAAAGTGAATAGTTGGTAAGGAAATTAAAAAAAAAAAACTACATACAGAGAGTATACTTTCAAGAAGTTTGTTCATGAAGAATGAAAAAATAGGGTGGCATCTGGCTCAAGATGTATACTGATTGATGTAGTACATCAGGAGAGATTGCTCTAAGGACCAAGCCCCTGTGGGAGGCTAAACGAGGTCAGGTCAAGGTCACTGCCAAAAATGTGGCCATCATCCTTATATATTAGGAATACTGACTCTTTCTAATTTTACAATTTGATCTCTTATTTTTTTTTAACTTAGTTTAGGGTTCCCATCACTCAAGTTTTATATATTTACATGATCAAGTCTTTTGCTCTTTCCTTAATGATTCTGGGGCTTTCTGTTATACTCAGTTCATTAAGTGGGATTTTAATATATATATATATTACATTAATTAGCTCTGTAATACATTTAGAATTATTTCTTTATATGTCAACATCATTATAGAAAAACTTCTGTATGTGGAGTGAGATTGAGGCCTTAATGTATTTTTTCCAACCATTTAATATCTCCACTAATTTGAAATGTCACCTTTATTATATATTAAATATCCATTCATACACATTTACTTTCTCTCTTTCAAATGTGTTTCTGGATTCTTTTATTCTATCCCACTGATTTGTTTGCCCATGCCTATGCCCACACATTTTTAAGAAAATTATTATAGCTGTGTCTTTACAGCTGGTCAAGCAAGTCTCCTAGTGTTAGTGTCTTTTGTCATTTAATTTATAAATTAAGTTACAGAGAACTGACATTATGCCTTCCCATTCAGAAATATAATTTATCTTTCTAGTTACCCTAATTTTCTTTTATATCCTTCCATAAAGCTTATAGTTGTTCATATAGTTCTTATACATTTCTTGATATATTTAAACTGCACCTGGTAGGCTTCTGGTGCTCTAATTAGATCTGGGGATAGAACTCCAAATATCTAGAATGGATAGCATGTCTGTAGACTCTTTTCTTTAAATATCACTGTCTTAGCCAGGACTTTAATAGGAGTTGGATAAAAGTTAATTACATGGGGTTGTGGATTGCTAATTCTCCATAGTAACAGATTCATATGCTTTAGATCAGAATTGTTATTTCAACATGAAGGTAAAGAGACCTAACACTTGTTCTCACCTTAATTAACAGCTACTCCATTTCCATGTGGCATTGGGCACCAGGCAAGATGAGCTAAGATACTTCACAGAAAGGAACTTTGGATCAGGTCAACACTTGTTCAAGTGTTTTCCTGAGACCCTGAATTTCCATATGATAAAGCTTAGCAAGAATCTAAAACTTTTCAGATTCAGTATTATCAGCACCTAAACCTGAAAACATAAAAAACAAAATCAGGAACTGTTCTGGAAGCCCTTCCTGTCCTTTTATGCCAGCTCTATCTTGTACCTACTAGCTGTCCCACAAAAGCAAAACAGTGTCCAAGGCTTGCACAAGACCACTCTGTCCAACCTTATTCCCGTGGTCTCTATCTTTGGTCCTCCACACTGTTTAACTCTGTTGAATAGTCCTCAGATGTGACATTTATATGTGCACTCTCCAATACTGAACACTGGTAGCTTTTTCTTTAAGCTGTGGACTGCCCACTATCTCTAGCATACATCCCCTCTTCCAGCTTGTCTCCATGGAATCTAATCTGTCTCCAGCCACACAACTGGCATCTGGATGAAAAGCTTACCCAGAACAGTTGATTCTCCACCGCAGGGCTTTACAAATGTGCCAGCCAAAGTGGATAAGCTGCAAAATACATTTAGATAATTGAATGGGTTGATTTGCCTTTATGGAGGTCAATTGCAAGATAGTAAATGTTTACTAAAGACAATTATCTTAGACGTAACAAAATTAACATTTTATTTTTTTCCTGTTTATTAGACCCCAAGCCCATCTGGGTTTTTTTTGTTTGTTTTTTTCCTTTTTCTTTTTTGAGACAGGGTCTGGCTCTATCACCCAGGCTAGAGTGTAGGCTCAGCTCGCTGCAGCCTCAACCTCCTAAGTTCAAGTGATCCTTCCGCCTCAGCCTTCCAAGTAGCTGGGACGCAGTTTGATTTTTTTTTTTTGCAGAAACAGGTTGCCCAGGCTCCATTTGTCTCTTTAAAAGCACCCTAATACATGGTATCTTTCCCTCCTGGACTCAAAACTCCCACAAAGTTAAGAACTAATTTATCTTCCTAATAGTTGCTCATAATTTATTGACATGATCCCACAGCCAAATAACAGAAAAGCTGGTAAAATGTTTAAATTAGCTGTATTACTTGAAAGAAACATTGTAAATCTACTCAGTAGTGTATTTACAAAAATATTTAGGATTGTTCCCACAACTGAACAATGGATCTATAGATTAGTAAAAATATAAAAGTTTATTGTTAAATTCATACATTATAAAGTGATCTGTTAAAAAAAAATCCAATATTCACTTAAAGTAGAAATAATATAAATTAGGCTACTGCCCATCATATATTTTTTGTATGCTTCTTATGAAAAATGTCCACCGTTGTTTCATGACATGGTCTTAAATCAAAATCACAATATCCAAGAGAAAAACGACTCTAAGAAGAGAAGAAAAGAGTATCATTAAAAATAATACAAAAACAGTGCTACACATTTACTCATAAGATTAAATCCTACCTGTGGTTTCTTAAAATAATCAAGTCCCCTTCCAATCTTAATCATCCATCCATTGTTGAACCTGTTGAAATTAGTATATAGCATTATATTCAAGACATTTAAGTCAGACTTAATAAAGCTGCAGTGTATTAACTGTCAGCAAAATTCCCCCTAACAAAGTAAACCACTTCCACCAGTGGCATGAATTGAATCAAACCTGGGGTTCATTATGAGCTGTGTTCACAATGAAAACGGTCATAGAAACAATCAGTTGATTTAATTATTTGATAGTTTAACAATTAAAATTTAATCTTGAATTACAGCTTGTTGACAAAACTTTTTCATGTTCTGCTAACAAGTGGTGGCAAACGTGGTGTTTCAAGAGTTCCCCTACCTAGAGATGGGGAATGTGCAGGAGGAGCTCTGGACCCTGACCTCTGCTATAGCAGCTGCATTTTCATCTGTTTTGCATATTTAGTTTGTGATTTTTTTTATTAAAACTGAGTTCCCTTGCTATAAACATATAACCACTCTGTTAAACAAAAGGAAGACATCACTAAAATAACTGCATATACTGTTTTTTTATAGACTCAGCAAATTGTCATGCCTACTAGAATATTTAATAACCTATAAAATGTAAAACCACATTAAGTAAATATTAAGTTCACTAAAAAATAAATTATCCTAATATCATAACACTATATATACAATTGAGTAGACAGAAAACTATTCACTTTCTACATGACACAGAACATGTAAATAGTATTCCATTAGGAAATATTAAACTCACACACAAAACACTTGGCTTAGTTTTGGACAAAGTAAGCCAACTGTTTTTTTCTTCTCAAAAGTGAAAAATTACTAAATTGAGTTTTATTTAAATTTTAAATATTTATAAATAAATATTAAATATTTATATGAAATTATATAAAACATTAAGAGACATTTTAAAAGTATATATCAAAGACTGAATAAAAATTAAAACATTATTGTAGACTAACCTAATTTCTCGGTCATGTATTGAAGAAGAGTATTGTACTTCCAACAGCACTCCATGACTCCTGAGTGACTCTTCTATTTCTTTCAGGCCCCTACTTTGCTGCACTTGCTCACTGCCCTGTTAATAGCAAAATTACAATTATCTGCCTCAGTTATTATTGATATCTTAAATTATCCCCAAGCTATACAATGAATATCATAGGTGGATTAAGATGGAAATGTTCTATACTAGTTTCAATCTCAATTATCTCAAAGAAGCAACCAATGTGAGATAGTTTAAAGAACAACTGTTTTTATCAAGATAATTGTTTTTTTTTTTCCTAATGTGAATGTAACTCCATCCTGTCTCCTTAAATGTAGTTTAGAATAGTTTGTCATCCAGGTGGAGTGGGCTTCTTTGGAAATCAATCACAGAAATCATTATTTAGAAGCATTACTATTTTAAGTCAAAACCAAGATAGAGATGCCCACTACCATATCATGCTACCATCCCTCAGATAAAATAATTGGTAAAGAAACAAAATTATCCATAGTGCAGACAGTGCAACTGCCTCCTAGAACACCCAAGAGACTAAACTAACAAACTATTTGAATAAGAGCATTTAGCAAAGTGGCCAAATACAAAATCAGCATCCTAAAATCAATAACATTTTTTTTCATGACATGCTATGCATACTGTTAGATAATAAATTAATTCCCAAGGAAATAAATCTGGCTTAATCACTGCATCTGTGTTTTCCTTGACTGGACTACATCTTGTAAGTGAATAAAGTTATTAAGAAAGAGTAAGTGCTTTCAGATACCTACTTCATCCAGAGAGGTGAGCAGGTGAATAGTTTTTACTTTACATGGTCTCTTAATAAGCATCTCACAAAATCGAAGAAAGTTATACAGCTAAAAGACATTAGAATGGATTATTACTAACAGTACATTGAAATGAATATTTCATTACATTTTAGTATATTCACATACCTGATGAGTATGTCTAATATAAGGATCTTCTATCCAAACTTCTGTAACTGTCTCATTAAGGTATTCGCGAAAAAGTGACTCATAACTGAAACCTGTTGCATTCTCTTCTATTTTAATTTGCTTGTGATATTTTCCATCTATAAAACACAAGCTTCAACAATAAAACCAGTGACCATTTTTTACACATTTTGTATTTTATATATAGTGATTAATCAGCATCAGATACATACTAATTTTTAAATTTATTCACTGAGCAAATATTTATTGAATGCCTACTAAATATCATACACATTGCAGGATGTTACACATTCAAAGGTATTTAAGGCAAACCACTCCATTAGTGATTTCTGCCTTCACAGAGGCTAGGCAATGGGGAAAATCCAATGAGGTTTCCTAGAACAGGTCCTTGAGCCAGATCCTATAGACCAGGCAGTTAGCTGAAGGGAGTAGTGTATGCATAAGGGTATCCAATAACTTCCTGTCACCATGGGTAGCACCACATGCTATATAACTCAGTAGCAATCTAGCCCTTCTCTTCAGACTTGTTTTTTTATGTCTTGCAATCTAATTACTGAAGTGAATATTAAACATGAATGCAGGGCCGGGAGCAATGGCTCACGCCTGTAATCCCACCATTTTTGGAGGCCTAGGTGGGTAGATCATTTGAGGTCAGGAGTTTGAGTCCAGCAACATGGTGAAACCCCACCTCTACTAAAAATACAAAAATTAGTTGGGCATGTTGCCGAGCACCTGTAGTCTCAGCTACTTGGGAGGCTGAGGCAAGAGAATCACTTGAACCTGAGAGGTGGAGGTTCCAGTGAGCTAAGATTGCGCCACTGCACTCCAGCCTGGGTGACAGAGGAGACTCTGCCTAAAAAAAAAAAAAAAAAAGAAAAAAACATGAATACAGTATAATATGGAGCTCTGAAGTCTTTCTTGGCACATGTAGAGTTTCAAACAGAAATTTATAGTACTTCTTAATAACCCAAGTTGAAGACTGGGATGTCACAGGATCAGTGGGACAGATCTATTGCTTTTGTTAATTCAAAATAAATACTGAATAAGTTATCAGAAACCTTTAAGGTTTTAAAAAAAATATGACCCCTAATGGTAGTCCCTAAATTATATGGTATCCCCTAAATTATACTACACACACACTTCTGTTCCAAATAGTTCCACAGAGATAATGTTGGCAACAATGCCTTATTTTTTAAGCCAAGCTAGCCACACAGAGGCTAATTTAATTCCATGTATTCAAACCACAATGCTAATGGTACTATATTTCATCAATGTTTTGGAGTAAAATTTCATTCTAGATTTCAAATTGGAGTGAAGGAAACATAATGTTATTCCCACAGAACAAAGGAGCTCAGTGGCGGTCCCCAGGGTATGTATTGATAGAGAATAGTGGGAAGAGATGGGGAAAGGGGTGCAGAAAGTAGAGAGAAGAACAGCTGGGGCCTGGGGGCACTGGCTTTTGAGGGCAGCAGTACCTTTGGCCATAGGCAAGCAGCAGTAGTGTGCACTCAGGTAAGAGTGGAAATGGCCATTTACAGACATTTGTAAACTGGATGCTTAGGAGCAGGGAACTAATAATCAATAGGGAACAATACCTACCTCACCTCTAATCGTTAGGAATACTTAACTCCTGAGGTGTTTTGATTCACAACAAAATCTGAGAGAAATCCTAAGAGTTTCTTTAGCTTCTTTCATGATTTTGTTCATTTCATAAAGGGAAATATAAATAAAATACACAATTTACATTCAGTATTCCTCTGTAGTATTTCTTAACATAGGGTACACATAAGCATCATAGGGATCTGTGAACTGCTTAAAAATGGCATGTAACATTCTGCAGTATGCATAGCTTTCATCAGATGTTCAAAGGGGTTCTGACATCCCTGCTCCCAACTAAAAAAAAAAAAAAAGATTAAAAACAACTCCTGTATGGGAGTGGAAAGGCAGAGTAAATCCTGTAAGCTCCCAGGGACGACTGGTCCAGACCACACAGAGCTCCAAAGGGCAGGAGCCAGAAAACACGGACAGTCACTGCAGTTTACGGACATGTTTTCTAAAACAGCCTCTTTACCCTCTTTTTCTTGGTCCAAGTACTTCTTTATGTTTTCCGCTCTGTCCATGTATTTGGAAATTCTTTCTCTGAGATTACATCTCTTAGTATTATCTTTGGTACCTAAAAGTTAAAAATATATTATCAGTTATCAAAACAGTTTTTCTGTTTAATTCAGGCATTATTTTCAGTGTCTCAAGTTTTCTACAAATTGCCTATCCTTTAGTATGGTTTGCCAGTCAAATACACACAATAAGTTCAAATTTGTCTTGAACATACAAGACCTTCATTTTTACACTAAGCATGTGATGTAGCTTAGTTTAGGAGTGGGAACTCCTGACACTGTGTCTCATCTCTGGGACACCAAATCTGGTGGGATGAAAGTGGCTTATTACATGTCAAGTTCATGTCTGAGCACTATTTTATCCTAATTACCCACAAGTTTGAAGCTTTAGCATAAATAAAAGATAGCAAATATTTATCTTCCACAAAACCAGCTTTTCTTCCAGACCTCCCCATTATGGTTAATGCACAGTCATTTTTCCAGCTACCCCAAGTGTTATTTTTGAATACACATGATCATAAAGTTTTACCCCAACGACTCCTCCTTCCAAATCAGTCACCAAATCACTTCTTGTTCCTTCCCTTCCTTCCTTTTGACATTGCTTATATTTTCCATAATAATTTCATTTTAATCTCTCATTTTAAAAAGCATTTTCAGTTAATGTTATATTTACAGAAAAGTTGCAAAAATGGCACAGATAACCTCCTTCACCTAGATTCCCCTAATGTTAACATATTACAAACATACTATAAGTATCAGAGCTAGGAAATTAACACTGATACAATACTATGAACTCATCTACAAACCTTATCTGAATTTCACCAATTTTCCCATTAATGAAAGTTTGTTTTCTGGTCCAGGATCTCACATTGCATTTAGTTATGTCTCCTTAGTCTCCTCCAAGCTGTGATAGTTCCTTAATCTTTCTCTGCCGTCTATGACCTTGACCTTTAAGTATAATATTGGTCAGTTATTTTTGTAAAATGTCTCTCATTTTGGATGGTCTGATGTTTTCTCATGATTAGACTTGGTTTATGCATTTTTGGTAAGAAAATCACAGAAGTGATGTGTCTTGCTCAGTGGGTGCATGATGCTGATATGTCTTACTACTGATGACATTAACTTTGACCACTTGGTAAAGGTGTAGTTCAGATTTCTCCACTGTAAAATCACTATTTTCTTTTTTGTAATTTGTAAGTACCTTATGAAAAGATATCATGCTTCTCATTACTCTTTCTCGCACTAATTTTAACATCTATTGATGGTCCTTGCCTGCAACAACTATGACTGTGATGTTTGCAAAATGGTGGTTTTCTATTTCCATAATTCCTTCTCAATCTGTTTATTCAATTAAAGAGTATGGGCTCATGAATATTTATTTTATTCTATGAGTCATAATCCAATACTATATTTTCCTGCTCAAATTGTATCAGCTTCAGCTTTGATATCTCCTTCATGTTGGTTCCTCTGTCCTTCTGTCAAGCTCCCATCGATATTGAATATGTCCTTACATTTTGATGTAAGATTTTTTTGTTTTTGTTTTGTTTTGTTGAGACAGGGTCAGGCTCTGTCGCCCAGGATGGAGTGCAGCAGCGTGATCTCAGCTCACTGCAACCTCTGCCTTCCAAGCACAAGGAATCCTCCCACCCCAGCCTCCCAAGTAGCTGAGACTACAGGCACGCACTACCATGCCTGGCTAATTTTTGTATTTCTTTTCTATTTCCTGTAGAGACAGAGTATCATCATGTTGCCCAGGCTGGTCTCAAACTCCTGGGCTCAGGCAATCCACCTGCCTTGGCCTCCCAAAGTGCTGGGATTGCATGCATGAGCCACCATGCACAGCCACAAGATGTTTTAAACCAAACTTGTCCAACCCTTGCATGCGGCCCAGGACAGCTTTGAACAAGGCCCAACACAAATTCGTAAACTCTATGAAAACATTATGAGGGGCGTGTGTGTGAGCTCATCAGCTGTCATTTGTGTTAGTGTATTTTATATGTAGCCCACAACAATTCTTTTTCCAATGTGGCCCAGGGAAGCCGAAAGATTTCTTAAAACTCATCTTGTTTATTTTTTCCCCCAACCCTGAAATACACTTTTCCAAGCAGCCTCAGTCACGTTTATTGAAGAGTGGTATTGAGAAACCAAAATCTGAGTGCCAGGCGTGTTCATTTCTACTGGGGAAGTCCCACCACTACTCCTAGACCCTCTCAGTCAATACAGCTAGGAAGTATATGTAGGCTTACTCATACATACATCTATATTTGTTTCTATCCATCTGTATAAATATTAAAAACCATAAGTTCGGCTGGGCGCAGTGGCTCAAGCCTGTAATCCCAGCACTTTGGGAGGCCGAAGCGGGTGGATCACGAGGTCAAGAGATCGAGACCATCCTGGTCAACATGGTGAAACCCCGTCTCTACTAAAAATACAAAAAATTAGCTGGGCATGGTGGCGTGTGCCTGTAATCCCAGCTACTCAGGAGGCTGAGGCAGGAGAGTTGCCTGAACCCAGGAGGCGGAGGTTGCGGTGAGCCGAGATCGCGCCATTGCACTCCAGCCTGGGTAACATGAGTGAAACTCCGTCTCAAAAAAAAAAAAAAAAAAAAAAAAAACCATAAGTTCATGCTGATAACTTTGATTCCACAGAGCTCATTCTAGCTTTCCCTAATGCCTCTCCTGCCCAAATAAAAGCAAAACACAACCTTTCCTCAGCCTTGCTAGGCTTTAAACTATGTAGTAGTCTTAGTCATTGTCCTTATCAGCTGGCAATGTCTCACACATAGACCCATCCTTCAATCATTATGCCACATTTTCTCAGGCTTGGAACCTTACAGCCATCTTTGACTCCCATTAACCTTAGTCCAGTATCTAATCATATGCCAGTGCCCCCTTCTTATCTTAATATTGGTATCATCTCTCTGGTTCAATCAGGCCTTTATCACATCTCATCTTTTTTTTTTTAAAGGTTTTATGTAATTTCAATTGGCACATGATAGTTATACATATTAAGGGGGTACAATGTGGTATTTTGATACATGTAAACATTGTGTAATGATCAAATCAGGGTAATTAGCATGTCTATTGTCTCAAATATTTACTGTTTCTTTGTGGTAAGAACATTGAAAATCATTCTAGCTATGTTGAAACATACAACATATTATTAAATATAGTCACCCTATTGTGTAATAGGACACCAGAATTTATTCCTATTTAACTGTAATTTTTTTTTTTTTTAGAGAGAGAGAGACAGGGTTTCACCATGTTAGCCAGGCTGGTCTCAAACTCCTGACCTCAAGTAATTTGCCCACTTCAGCCTCCCAAAGTACTGGGATTACAGGTGTGAACCACTGCACCTGGCCTCTAACTGTAATTTTATACCCTTTGACCAACCTCTCCCCATTCCTCTTAACTTCACAGCTTCTGGTAACCATTATTCTACTCTCTACTTCTATGATACCAACATTTTCAGATTCCACATATGAGTGAGATCATGTGGTATTTGTCTTTCTGTGTCTGGTTTGTTTCACTTAACAGTTTCCTACAAGTTCGTCCATATCTCAAATTACAGGATTTCATTTTATATGGCTGAACAGTATTCCACTATGTATATGTACCACATTTTCTTTATCCATTCATCTGCTGATGGACACTTGGGTTGATTCCATATCTTGGCTGTTATGAATAGTGCTGTAGTAAACATGGGAGTACAAATATCTCCTTGACGTAATGATTTCATTTCCTTTGGATATATACCTAGTAATGGGATTGATGGTCGTTCTCTTTTTAGTGTTTTGAGGAATCTCCATACATTTTCTATATTGGCTATACTCACCTCTTATTTTGATCCCAGCAGGAGCTCCTTAATTGATCTGCTTTACTTCAGTCTCTACAGGTTAATGTCTATTTTACATCCTTGCCATATTCAGTCCTTTCTTCAAGAAATACTTATTGACAACTAACAACATGCCAGGCATTGTTCTAAGTGCTGTAGATACAGCAGTTAATAAAACAGACATAATTCTCCTCTATTGTTCAAGTAGGAAGAAAGAGAACAATAAAAATAAATTGGTGAAACATGTATATTAGGCTGAAATAAGTGCTATTAAATAAAGTCATGAAAGACGACAGGGAGCACTGGGATAGGGTTATAATTGTATACTGGAGATCAGGAGGCTTCACAAAGAAGGTGATATTTGTGTAAAGGCCTGAAGTAGAAGAGAGAGTATGTCATGCAAATATTTGTGAGAAAGAGCATATTCCTGAAAGAGACCAGTCCTAAAATGCAACTCCAATTATGTTACTCCTTTGTAAAAACCTTAAATGGTTTCTCCTTACCTGGGAAATGAGTTAAAATCTCCTGGTAGTCAAGGCCATCCACGATGTGACCCAAGCCCTTATCTACCTTTAAACTTTTACCTCTCATTCTTCCTCTTCAGACGCATGCTCAATCAAACTTAACTACTTATTTGGTAAGGACAGGCAGAATTTGAAGACTCTTAGATGAATTTCTGACTTCTGAAATTCTTTTTCCTCCAAAGCCCCAATCAAACTCCACCTCTACCTTTCCACCCTCACATGACCTTTAACTGTTTAAATCCTCATTGCACTTACCTATAGATATCTCTCTCCTGGCACTTATGTATTAGCGCTATTTGCATTTTGGGTCTTAACCCATCTATGTCATGTCACTGTCTCTGTAACCTCTACGGGATCAGTGAAGCACACTGGAGCAGAACTGTGATTCTCCTGCTTGAGATTCCTAGAGCAGCCAAAACTTGAGCAGTGTTCTGCCTGACCAACCCAATATACCATCTCTCTTTGGGGATTCGGTATACCAGTCATTGAGGCCTTGGGCTCCAACTAAGACTCTACCACCTGCTCCAACTGTGACTCTACCACCTCCTAGTGACAGAACTTGAAAGCTTACAATACTTTTTATGCTGTAAAATGAGAATACCATCAACTCCTACTTGATAGGGCAATTGGTACGGATGAAACAAGATCATGCTTTTAATGTTCTCTGCAGTGCCTGGCACTCAGCACTGAAATGTGATAGCTACGCTTATTGCTGTTGTCATCATTATCGTCAAATAATGCCTCAGGCAACGTTTATACTACTGACTAAAGCACCAAACCATGAAGGACTCCCTCTGCTGCCTCAAAGCTTCTGTAACACTTTAATTATAACAAGCTTAAACTAGAAAGCACAGAGGAAGCGATCTTAGTCCAGACCAGGAGTGCCAGGGCGTCTTATCAATTTAATACATAAATACTGAGTATCTACTGTGAGCCAAGATTGTACTGGATGTTAAGGATATTTGGGTATTTCTCAACATTGAATAACTACATATTAGGAAAAGTCTCACTGTCCCCTCCACAACCCTGCACATTTTTCACAACAAACTTCATCCATTAAAGAAAAACTTTTCAGGGCCGGGCGCAGTGGCTCAAGCCTGTAATCCCAGCACTTTGGGAGGCTGAAGCGGGTGGATCACGAGGTCAAGAGATCGAAACCATCCTGGTCAACCCCGTCTCTATTAAAAATACAAAAAATTAGCTGGGCATGGTGGTGCGTGCCTGTAATCCCAGCTACTCAGGAGGCTGAGGCAGGAGAATTGCCTGAACCCAGGAGGCGGAGGTTGCGGTGAGCCGAGATCGCGCCATTGCACTCCAGCCTGGGTAACATGAGTGAAACTCTGTCTCAAAAAAAAAAAAAGAAAAACTTTTCTTCTTCTATTGCTATATTTTACTTTGGCTTGCTTTAAATGCAAATATTTAAACAGAAAATTAAAAATAATCATATAATAAAAATCCCTATTACCCATCACCTAGATTTTTTAAATTAGCATTTTTGCTCAATTTGCTTCAGTTTAAAAAATTTTTTGCTTAAGGAAAATTAACTACAGACATAATGGCATCTCTTTCCAAAACACTTTGGTCTGCATCTCTAAAAATTAAAGATAGTTTTTGAAAAAAAAAAAACCACATTGCCTAAAAAATGACATTGATCTGTTAAAGATCTAAAAGAGCCAAGAAGGCCGAATAGGAACAGCTCTGGAGTGCAGTTCCCAGCAAGAATGCAGAGGCTGCCACAGGTGATCCCCATGCAAGCAGGGTGTGGAGTGAACCTCCAGCAATCCTACAGGAGAGGGGCCTGACTGTTAGAAGGAAAACTAAAAAAGTGAAAGAAATAACTTCATCATGAACAAAAAGAACGTCCACTCAGAGACCCCATCCGAAAGTCACCAACTACAAAGACCACAGGTAGATGAATCCACAAAGATGGGAAGAAACCAGCGCAAAAAGGATGAAAACAACCAAAACCAGAATGCCTCTCCTCCTCCAACGGACCACAGCTCCTCACCAACAAGGGAACAAGGCTGGATGGAGAATGAGTCTGATGAACTGACAGAAACAGGCTTCAGAAAGTGGGTAATAACAAACTTCTCTGAGCTAATAGAACATGTCCTATTGTAATGCAAAAAAATTAAGAACCTTGAAAAAAGGTTCTAACCCAATGCAAAGAAACTAAGAACTTTGAAAAAAGATTTGACAAAACGCTAACGAGAATAAACAGCCTAGAGAAGAATATAAATGAATTGATGGAGCTGAAAAACACAACATGAAAACTTCACAAAGCATACACAAGTTTCAATAGCCGAATCAACCAAGCATAAGAAAGGATATCAGAGATTGAAGATCAACTCAATGAAATAAAACCAGAAGGCAAGATTAGAGAAAAAAGAGTAAAAAGAAATGAACAAAGCTTCCAAGAAACATGGGATTATGTGAAAAGACCTAATCTACATTTGATAGGTGTACTTGAATGTGACGGAGAGAATGAATCCAAGCTGGAAAATACTCTTCAGGATATTAACCAGGAGAACTTCCCCAACCTAGCAAGGCAGGCCAATATTCAAGTCCAGGAAATACAGAGAACACCACAGAGATATTCCTCAAGAAGAGCAACCCCAAGGCACATAATTGTCAGATATACCAGGGTTGAAATGAAGGAAAAAAATCCTAAGGGCAGCCAGACAGAAAGGTCGGGTTACCCACAAAGGGAAGCCAGCCCATCAGACTCACAGCAGATGTCTCAGTAGAAACCCTGCAAGCCAGAAGAGAGTGGGGGCCAATATTCAACATCCTTAAAGAAAAGAACTTTCAACCTAGAATTTCATATCCAGCCAAACTAAGCTTTTCATAAGTGAAGGAGAAATAAATCCTTTACAAACAAGCTATTGCTCAGAGAGTTCATCACCACCAGGCCTGCCTTACAAGAGCTCCTGAAAGAAGCACTAAACATGGAAAGGAAAAACCAGTACCAGCCACTCCAAAAACATACCAAATGGTAAACAGCATCAACACAATGAAGAAACTGCATCAACTAACAGGCAAAAGAACCAGCTGGCATCAAAACGGCAGGATCAAATTCACACGTAACAATATTAACCTTAAATGTAAATGGGCTGAATGCCCCAATCAAAAGACACACACTGGCAAATTAGATAAAAAGTCAAAACCCATCAGTGTGCTGTATCCAGGAAACCCATCTCACATGCAAGGATAGACTAAAAATAAAGGGATGGAGGAAGATTTACCAAGCAAATGGAGAGCAAAAAAAGAGCAGGAATTGCAATCCTAGTCTCTGATAAAATAGACTTTAAACCAACAAAGATCAAAAGAGACACAGAAGGGCATTACATAATGGTAAAAGGATCAATGCAACAAGAAGAGCTAATGATCCTAAATATAAATGCACCCAATACAGGAGCACCCAGATACATAAGCAAGTTCTTAACGACCTACAAAGAGACTTAGACTCCCACACAATAATAGTGGGAGACTTTAACGCTCCACTGTCAATATTAGACAGATCAAGGAGATAGAAAATTAACAAGGGTATCCGGGACTTGAACTCAGATCTGGACCAAGCAGATTTAATAGACATTTACAGAACTCTCCACCCTAACTCCATAGAATACATATTCTTCTCAGTACCACATTACACGTACTCTAAAACTGACCACATAATTGGAAGTAAATCACTCCTCAGCAAATGCAAAAGAACAGAAATCATAACAAACAGTCTCTCAGACCAGAGTGCAATTAAATTAGAACTCCATATTAAGAAACTAACTCAGAACCGCACAACTTCATGAAAACTGAACAACTGGCTCTTGAATGTTGACTGGATAAACAATAAAATGAAGGCAGATATAAAGACGTTCTTCGAAACCAACAAGAATCTATGGGACACATTTAAAGCAGTGTCTAGAGGAAAATTTATAGCAATAAATGCCGACATGAGAAGAAAGGAAAGATCTAAAATTGACACCCTATAATCAAAATTGAAAGAGCTAGAGGAGCAAGATCAAAAAAACTCAAAACCTAGCAGAAGACAAGAAATAAGTAAGATCAGAGCAGAACTGAAGGAGAGAGAGACACAAAAAAACCCTTCAAAAAATCAATAAATCCAGGAGCTGGTTTTTCAAAAAGATCAACAAAATAGACAGACCACTAGCCAGATTAATAAAAAAGAAAAGAGAGAAGAATCAAATAGACACAATAAAAAATGATAAAGGGGATATCACCACCAATTCCACAGAAATACAAACTACCCTCAGAGATTACTACAAACAACTCTATGCACATAAACCATTAAACCTGAAAGAAATGGATAAATTCCTGGACACTTGCACCCTCCCAAGTCTAAACCAGGAAGAAGTCGAAACCCTGAATGGACCAATAACAAGGGCTGATGTTGAGGCAGCAATTAATAGCCTACCAACCAAAAAAAACCCAGGGCCAGACAGGTTCACAGCCGAATTCTACCAGACATACAAAGAGGAGCTGGTACCATTCCTTCTGAAACTATTCCAAACAATCCAAAAAGAGGGAATCCTTCCCAAATCATTTTATGAGACCAACATCATCCTGACACCAAAACCCGGCAGAGACTCAGTAAGAAAAGAAAACTTCAGGCCAATATCCATGATGAACATAGATGTAAAAATCTTCAATAACATACTGGCAAACCGATTGGAACAGAACATCAAAAAGCTTATCCACCATGATCAAGTAGCCTTCATCCGGGGATGCAAGGCTGGTTCAACATACGCAAGTCTATAAACACAATTTACCACATAAACAGAATCAAAGACAAAAAACACATGATTATCTCAGTGGATACAGAAAAGGCCTTCAACAAAATTCAACAGCACTTTATGCTAAAAACTCTAAAAAAACTAAGTATCGATGGAACATATCTCAAAATATTAAAAGCTATTTACAACAAACCCACAGCCAATATCATACTGAATGGGCAAAAACTGGAAGCATTCCCTTTGAAATCTGGCACTAGAAAAGGATGCCCCCCACTCACCACTCCTATTCAATATAGTAATCAGGCAAGAAAAAGAAATAAAGGGTATTCAATTAAGAAAGGAGGAAGTCAAATTTTCTCTATTTGCAGATGAAATGACTGTATATTTAGAAGACCCCATCTTCTCAGCCCAAAATCTGAAACTGATAAGCAACTTCAGCAAAGTCTCAGGATACAAAATCAATGTGCAGAAATCACAAGCATTCCTATACACCAATAACAGACTTAAAGAGATCCAAAACAAGAACAAACTGCCATTCACAATTGCTACAAAGAGAATAAAATACCTAGGAATACAACTAACCAAGGATGTAAAGGACCTCTTCAAGGAGAACCGCAAACCACTGCTCAAGGAAATAAGAGAGGACACAAACAGATGGAGAAACATTCCATGCTCATGGTTATGAAGAATCAATATTGTGAAAATGGACATACTGCCCAAAGTAATTTATAGATTCATTGCTATCCCCAACAAGCTACCTATGACTCACTTCGCAGAACTGGAAAAAGCCATGTTAAACTTCATATGAAACCAAAAGAGAGCCTGCATAACCAAGTCAGTTCTAAGCAAAAAGAACAGAGCTGGAGGCATCATGCTACCTGACTTCAAACTATACTACAAGGCTACAGTAATCAAAACAGCATGGTACTGGTACCAAAACAGAGATATAGACCAATGGAACAGAACAGAGGCCATGGAAGCAACACCACACATCTACAACCAACTGGTCTTTGACAAACCTGACAAAAGCAAGCAAATGGGGAAAGGATTCCCTGTTTAATAAATGGTGCTGGGAAAACTGGCTAGCAATGTGCAGAAAGGAGAAACTGGACCCCTTCCTGACACCTTACGCTAAAACTAACTCCAGATGGATTAAAGACTTAAACATAAGACCTAACACCATAAAAACCCTAGAAAATAATCTAGGCAAAACCATTCAGGACATAGGCATAAGCAAGGACTTCATGATAAAAAAACCAAAAGCATTGTAACAAAAGCCAAAATAGGCAAATGGGGTCTAATTAAACTCCTGAGCTTCTGCACAGCAAAAGAAACAATCATTAGAATGAAGTGGCAACCAATAGAATGGGAAAAAATTTTTGCAATCTACCCACCTGAAAAAGGGCTGATATCCAGAATCTACGAGGAACTAAAACACATTTAAAAAAAAAAAAAAAAAAAAAACCCCATTCAAAAGTGGGCGAAGGATATGAACAGACATTTTTCAAAAGAAGACATACATGAGGCCAAAAAACACATGAAAAAATGCTCATCATCACTGATCATTAGAGACATGCAAATAAAAACCACATTGAGATATCATCTCTTGCCAGTTAAAATGGCATCATTAAAAAATCTGGAGACAACATGCTGGAGAGGATGTGGAGAAATAGGAACACTTTTACACTCTTGGTGGGAGTGTAAATTAGTTCAACCATTGTCCAAGACAGTGTGGCGATTCCTCAAGGATCTAGATATAGAATTACCATTTGACCCAGCAATCCCATTACTAGGTATATATCCAAAGGATTATAAATTGTTCCATTATAAAGACACATGCACACATATGTTCATTGCGGCACTGTTTACAATAGCAAAGACCTGGAACCAACCCAAATGCCCATTGACTATAGACTGGACAGGGAAAATGTGGCACATATACACCATGGAATACTACACAGCCATAAAGAATGATGAGTTCATGTCCTTTGTAGGGACATGGATGAATCTGGAAACCATCATTCTCAGCAAACTGACACAAGAACAGAAAATCAAACACTGCATGTCCTCACTCATAGGTAGGTGTTGAACAATGAGAACACATGGACACAGGGAGGGGGAGCATCACACACTGGGGTCTGTTGGGGAGACTCGAGGAGGGACAGTGGGGCGGGTAGGGAGTTGGGGAGGGATAACATGGGGAGAAATGCCAGAGATAGGTGATGGGGACGGAGGCAACAAACCACATTGCCATGTAGGTACCTATGCAACAATCCTGCATATTCTTCACATGTACCCCAGAACTTAAAGTGCAATAAAAATATACACACACACACACACACAAAGAGACCGAGTTATCCTGTAGAATATTCCACCTTCTGCATTTAACTGCTTCTTTGCGGTGTGGAAGAATTGTTTTTAACTCCTTCACTTCCCAGACACAGCAGGAACCAGCTCCTTTTCCTCAGGTCCTCCCCGCCTTGCCTCATTGCTCACCTTTCAGAACCTGCAGGAGCAGATCAATCCCCTCTTGGTAACACACCAGAGCCTGCGGATACCGCGACTCGGAATCTAGTTCTACCGCCCGCTTTAGCACAGTGACTGCAGCTGTGCTCTCCGGATCCTGCGCCATCCCAGACTTCGCCATAACTCCGGGAACTCTCCTCCTCCTCAACCCTGGCTGAAGTTGGGCGGGTCTGCTGCGCTTCCGGGAAGTGGTCATGTGACACCCATGCGCCTGCGCTCTCTTTCTAGGGTGTTTCCTGAGAGGGAGGGATTTCGCCGGAACAAAAGTGCTCTGGTTCGCAGGTCGCGCTGACTGCAACGGCAGGCTTTGGGTGTAGCACTTTGTAGTTCTTCCTCTGCTCTGCTTCCCTTTGGTGGAAAACTTCAGGGATGAACGTTTAGTAGGTGCTGGTGAGTGGGGAATGAGTGGCCGAAAGTACTGCATTCTTAGCCAAGTGTATATATCCAGGAACCCTCTGCAGACCTAATTGATTTTCCCTATTGCGTTCTGAGTTGGCAGGTTACGGCGACCTTAATGGATCTGCGGCTGATCCCGTCACATTGGCTCCCGAAAGGCCATTGGTCTGCATTATGCTGTTTTCCAATTCGCAGAATCCAGGGCCACGCGGCTTGTTGTGCCTAGACTCTTGGAGCTCAAGGACTGAGCCGCCGAGGCCGGGCAGCTTGGGAAAGGGAACCCAAGCAGCATTTTTCTGTGCTTCTGCTTCATAACTTAGGGTTGCCATTGGGAATTAGGATTACTTTTCCTTTTTAAATGAAGACAGAAAATTGCCTTTATTTTTGTATTGCTTCATTTTATAATGCAAACATTCCAGAGTTGGCAGTTAGAATATTTTCCATTTTATTAAAAACTGATTTGTTACCATTTTTATGGAGACCTACCGAAAGCTGTTTGTTCTGCCCTTTTGGCCAGGAGGCAGTAATGAGGACTGCCTACTACTTGTTAGGGACTAGGAGTTCAGAGAAGAGACACGCTTCCAGCCTTCAGAGATCTCTGGTATCTCTGCAATAGTGATTCTATGTTTTGCATTTCAGAAGTGTTTTTCTCCCTTTAATAATTACATACATTGTCAGTTTAGAAAAAGAAATCGCTTTTTAACATTCCTGTTGCATGCATGGTCCTTGTAAAAAGACAAAAAGAACTACCTGTTGGTGGAGGGGGAGAGGAAAAACGCCTTTTTTCATACCCCCAGGGGTGAGTTAATGTTATTCTGACGACCTTCCAGAGTTTTTCTGTGAATACACACATTCGCAGATATTAAAAAAAAAAAAATAGAAATGGGATCATACTTCTCATGTGATGCCTGATATTTTCCTATTTTTACAGTAGGAGACAGGATAATTGTTTCAGGGTCCAAGAGTCAGGTGCCTAATTAATAATAACTTTTACTTTATTAAAACGTATTCCTGGAGTCAAACGTGGTGACACACACCTAGCTCTAATTACTGGGAAAATTGAGGATTACTTAAGGCTAAGAGTTCAATAGCAGGAATATAGCGAGACTGTCTCTAAAAACTTGTAACTTTTGATTGTCACACCTTCTAAAGTCTGTAAATATTTAAACTTCTGTTATTCTGCAAAAATATATTATGTGGCGACTATAGGGTAGACACCGCTTTATGTAGATGCTTGGGATACTTCTGTGAATATAACAGACCAAAAACAACAGGATCTAAAAACACTTGTCCTATGGAATTAGCATGGTATTGAATGGACATGCACGAAACAACAAACCTAACAGATAATTAAGTTAGGTTAGAAGATAAACACAATAGAAAGAAAAGTAAGGTGGAATTAGGATTGTAGACAGTTAGGGTGTGGGTGAAAATGTTAAACGAAGTGACCTGGGTAAACCTCATTGAAAAGGTGAAATTCGAGCCAGATTACAGATCTGGCTTTGGGTGTGCTCATTGCTACTAACTGCTATTGCTTTACATCCTCTCAGCTGACAGAGCTAGCCCATGTATACATGCATATCTATAATTATTTCTATACCCCTCAATATCTATATTAAGCTAAACATGAGTTCTAATGCCAATCTAGTATATAAGGATCACTGTAGCCTTTCCCTTTTGCTTATGTGTAACCTCCCACTTCAACAGAGAATCCTGGCTCTCTGGAAGATTTTTGAGCAGAATGACATGATCTAAGACTTAATAAGATGATTTATTGCTGATATACAAAAGAGATATTAGGGGAATTGGGATAAAAGCAGAAGTCCAGTTAGGATTTTGTTGAGACCTAAGTGATAAAAAAGATTTTTTAGAGTGTGAAGCTAAATAAGTTGGATTAATACATAATGCTAACCTTGAGAGGAGGAAGTATGGTAAAATAATATAGCATTAGATAGGTTCAGTTGCTGAGGAATGTTTCTGAGTTCTGGCTCTTTACAGGAGACATCTTGCATTGATTCTCAGAGTTCCCTTTGCTTTTCCACATCACAGGAAAGACTTGCAGAACTTGAATGAGCTAGAATCTGCGGGACACTGAATTACAACACTTAACCTATTTTAATGTGTTAGAGCAGAAGTCTCCAAACCCCTACGCCTCACACCCAGACCACTTGGTGGCGCATTAGGAACCAGGTGGTACAGCAGCCAGCAAGCTGAGGTTGAGTGAGCATGACCACCTGAGCTCCGCCTCTTGTCAGAGCAGTGCAGCTTTAGATTCTCTCATAGGAACATGAATGCTATTGTGTACTGGACATGCAAAGGATCTAGGTTGCATGCTGCTTATGAGAATCTAATGCCTGATGATCTGAGGTGGAACAGTTTCATCCTGAATCCTTCCCCACCACCCCTCCCTATTCATGGAAAAATTGTCTTCCACAAAACTGGTCCATTGCCAAAAAGGTTGGGGACTGCAGTGTTAACAGTATTCTTATTAGCTTTGTAATAATTTAATAATAAAGTTGCCATTTATTGAGGGCTTCCCACATGCCAGGTACTGTTTTAGGTGCTTTGTAGAATAACTCAGTTGCAAGACAGGTATTTTCTTTTCTGAGGGAAAAGTTGTAACACAAATTAATTAACCTGTCGGAGAGATACTTGTAGTTCATGAACTTAATCTTTCTGCTTTCAGTATAAGTCAGTATAGAAGGCTATAGTTTTTTCATGTATAATTAAATAAATACGGCCTTTTTAGGTCTTAGATGCAATGCATGTGCATTGAGAATAGTTTAAAAAAAGACAAATAAGCAAAAACGTTCTATTTTTTAACAGAAACATGTTATGATTTAGTGAAAATGCACTTGCCTAGGAATTAGGAGAATGGGGTTCTAGACTGCTTACTCTATTGATAACTGGATGCTCTTAGATAAATTATTGAACTTTCTGGAATTCATGATCCTCATTCATAAAGTAAGAGCATGGGCAGTCAGTTCCAATTATAGGAGTTGGGATTTCTTCAGTCCTTTCTAGGTTTTTAATTTTCTGTGATTCTATGACAAAGCATTCTTTATCTGCCTTCATTGTTGAAGAAGACACTTTAAATGATAGTAAACTCTCATTTCCCAGTTTTGTGGAATCAATCCAGGTCTGACTCATTTGGTGAAAATGGGATGTGGTTAATGTTGTGTATAATTACTACCTGTGGTGGAATAAAACATTATTTCTAAATCAATTCTTGCCCTTATTAAAATAACGGCATTATTAATTTACTGTTAAACTTCAGTCACATTTACAATTAATTTGCTGCGTAGTTTTTTAATACTAGAGAAGGGGAAACCTGTTCATTTCCAAGACTGATGGGTCTGCTTCTTCTCACAGCCTCTAAAGAGAGCAATCACTACACTTATGGCTGGGATTTTGCGCTTAGTTGCTCAGAGGCCCACAGGCAGACTACAGGTAAGTATTTCTTTTCATGACTTCTTTTCTACCCCATATGAATTTTTTTCTTTGTCAGTACAAAACGTATAGGCAAGTTACGTTCTTTTGCCAGTTCCGTTTTGAAATTTTTGACATGTTGGAAGTAAATCTTGCTTATTTATTGTTTATCTGCAGTTTTATCCCTAAAGATCTAGAATCAAAAAATATCTTTTTCTGGAAAACCTGCCAATAAAAAATGGCTGTCATTGATTCCCCTTGGTCTATCTTAAAGTTTTAGGTTTTTTCCCTTCGATTATGGAAGGAATACATTTTCAATAATAAAATGTTAGAAAATTATAGAAAATCAGAAGGAAGATAAATAATCTCTAAAAGACCATCAGTGTTAGTATTTTCATGTATCTCCTTCTACACTTGCTTTTAGAAAGTGCACTGGTGCAGTCTAATCTACTCATAAGGGCCAGAGCCTAGATGCGCCTGTAGACCTGCTCCTGGCTGTAGATGACAATAATGTAAGGGGCTTTATGTATATTACCTTAACCTCAGATTAATCCTGTGAGGTCAATATTATTACTTTTTAGAGCTGAGGAAACTGACCTTCTGAGACGGTAAGTGTCTCATGTCTCACTGCTAGTAGGCAGCAGAACTCAACCCAGTGCCTCTCTTCTAGCGGTTTATGCCATCTCTGCAATGCAGGAAAGGCTGGGAGGCAATGAGGGGAATGACTGTTGCCCATTCCCAGAGCAGTATCCTGGTATGAAAGGTTGGCAGTGAATCCTTTTTCTTCAGTAACCTGACAGAAATGGGACTGGAGGAATGTAGAGCAGGAACAAGAGATGGGAACTGGGAGTGATGACATTGTTAGGACTAGAAAGGAAACTAGAAACTCATTTTGGATTTCTTTTATATTATCTTGTTAAATGTGAATTATTGCACATTATCTAGAGCAAGAGTTGATAAACTATGGCCTTTAGGCCAAATTCAGCCTGCCACCTATTTTTTTGTAAATACAATTTTATTGAAAAATAGCCACACCTGTTTGCATATTGTCTGACTGCTTTTACCCTATAATGGCCAAGCTGAGTTTTGGCAATGGAGACTACATAGCTTTAGAGCTGGGAATATTTACTATCTGGTCCTTTACAGAAAACAGTTACCAATTCATGGTCTAAAAGTCTAAATTTATATGCCTTTAGCTTTATATTATGTTAGTGCTTAGATGGGATGAATTCACTCAGTTTGGGAACTACGATATACCTTTAATAATTACAAGGTAGGTTGGAACAGATTTCTGCTACCTAAAGATTGGTGGGTATGGATTTCTGTACTAGACAGAATTCTTAAAAAACAAATGATTTATATCATATTTTAGACCGTGGCAAAAGATGTGGAGTCTCTTATTTGTACAGATTGGATTCGTCACAAATTCACCAAATCAAGAATTCCAGATAAAGTAAGAACAGAGATTTTTGTTGTTTTTAATGTTAGCATTGTTTTAAAAAAAATATGTTTTAAGTGGTACCTATTTTCATAATATTGAAAAATGTTACATTAAATTATACGTGGATGTAGGTGGTGGTACAGAGTTTAAAGCATAGTGGGATTTGTGTAAATGGTGATTATTAAAAATAAAATTGTTCTCTCACTTGTGTCACTGACCTTCACAGTAGTGAGTTTTTATTATTTATATCCATTTATTACTGCTTATGGTTTGTATATATGTGTTTGTACCTCACCATTGTCCTGAGAAAACAGTGGGTCTTCCTACTCAGGCGCTCACCATGTCAGTCTTCATTTTCACTTTCTGTATTAATCATTGCTACTTTGGATCTTTCAGCTTTTTCTGTTTGATTTATGTGTACATATTATTCTTTTAGATAATACTAAGCCCTCCATTTACTTTTTTTAAAAAAAATTTTTTAAGAGGGTCTTGCTTTGTTGCCCAGGCTGGAGTGCAGTTGTGCAATCTCGGCTCACTGCAGCCTCCATCTTCCGGGTTCAAACAATTATTGTGCCCCAGCCTCCTGAGTAGCTGGGACAACAGGCCCTTGCCACCACACCTGGCTAATTTTTATATTTTTAGTAGAGATGGGGTTTCATCATGTTGTCCAGGCTGGTCTTAAACTCCTGGTCTCAAGTGATCCACCCAGCTTGGCCTCCCAAAGTACTAGGATTACAGGCACCCAACCTATTTTTGTTTGTTTTTTAATTAATAGACTTTATTTCTTAAAGCAGTTTTAGGTTTGCAGAAACATTGATTGTGAAGTATGGAGAGTTCCTATATGCTCCTTCCTCCCAGCATACACAGTGTCCCCCACAACTGATGAACCAACAGGACACATTAACTAAACACCATAGTTTACACTAGCTTTCACTCTTCATGTTGTGAAATTCTGTAGGTTTTGGCAAATGGATAATGTCATGTATCCACTATTACAGTATTATACAGAATAGTTTCACTGCCCTAAGTATCACCTGTGCTTCACCTGTTTATCCTCCCAACTCCCAACCTCTGGCCACCACTGATCTTTTTACTATCTCTATAGTTTTACCTTTTCCAGAAATCATATGATATATAGCCCTTTCAAACTGGCTTCTTTCTCTTAGCAATATACCTCCATGTCTTTTTGTGGCTTGCTAGCTTATTTTTATTGCTCAATATCCCATTGTATGGGCATACAGTTTATTTCTGCATTCACCTATGGAAAAACATCTTGATTGCTTCTAGTTTGGGGCAGTAATGAACAAAGCTGCTATAAACATTCATGTATAGATTTTTGTGTGAAAATAAATTTCCAACTCATCAGGTAGATACCTAAGAGCACAATTGCTGGATTGTATGGTAAAGACTATGTTTAGCTTTGTAAAGCCTGAGTTTTTTGTCTATTTGTTTTGGGCACGGCCTTCCTAAT